TAAACCAGCACACACACTATGGGGGGTGGGGGAGAGAAGGGCGTGGGATCAAAACAAGGGGGGTGGGAATTGTATGGGGACTATAACCAAGATGAAAATGCATACATTGTGCAAAAATGAAAAATGATGTAAAAACATATAAAATAAAATAAACAGGAAAAAAACCAACTGGGTAAGGGCCTCCTCTGGTGGCGCAGCGGTTGAGCACTAGGCCTCTGCAGCGCCGGTTCATTCCCCGGCCACCGGGAGGGTCCCACAAAAAAAAAAAAAAAACCTGGGTAAATTAACTTTTGCTATTCCGCAGGACTATAGAGAATTGAGAGGGGAGTAGAGGAAAATAAGGGGAAGGATTTTTCCTTTTGGAAAATTCAACTTCCAAGGCTACATTATAACAAAGAGGAGGGTACCTGCCCTAAGGCTGGCCAAAGAGGAGGCCTAATTCCTCCCCCAATCCCATGAGCAGCTTCAGTCCACACGCTGACAGCTCCCTCCGGGGGCACCTCTGTAGGGGCTCAGTAAGTTTTCCAATAGGCTTTTCATATAGACAGAGTAAAAGAAGTGGCCAAAATTAAGGTGAAAGTGGGGAGTTAAGTAAGACTGAAAGTTGAGCTTCCCCAGATAGAAGACCTTGGCATGAGCTTCTAGGGGTGTCAACAGATTTCCCCTGACCACTGTGCAGGCCAGTTCAAAAGCTGAAAACATCAAGCACCACACAAAGTGTTGGAATTGCCTCATCTTTTAACTGGCTGACTCTCTAGAAATCTTCTTAGCTGTCTCCCTTTAATTAGTCAAATATCTAATTAATAAGTTAATTGGTGAAAAGGTTGGAAGTTATAAGACTTCCTTGGACTCTGTATTCATAAAGCTCTCCCCACCTCCATAAAAATGCTGATTCAGGCAGGTGATCAGGTAGTCAGCCCTTCCCACCTCCCCTGGGGCCACCCAAGGGGCAGGCTGTGAGTCAAAGCGCCCCAGACTCCACCCCCTGCGGGCCCCAGCAGACACGCACTTCCTGAGCAGCAAGGGGATAAATGATGTCTATTGGCACCTTAAAATACCTTGATTCAGAGTTAGGTATTATGTTTGAAACTAATATTATTTTCAAGTCAGCAGTCTGATTTCAAAGGAAACAGAAAAAAATGTGAACTTTGATGTCAAAATCTCAAACGTCTTATTAGTTGCTGCTGGGATTGTAAAACGGTACAGTCACTCTGGAAAACAGCGTGTCTGTTTCTTAATACGAGAGGCCAAGCCACACACTCACACAAACCAGAGAAAGGAAAATGACACCCACACAGAAGCCAAAGCATGAACAGTCACAGTAGCTTCATTTAGAACAGATAAAAATTGTAAACAGCCAAAATGTTTCTCAATCGGTGGCAGGTCAAGCAAACCATGGTTACATCCATACTGTGGACTATTACCCCACGACAAGGAGGAACGAACTACGAGCACACACAATGATTTGGCTGGATCTTAAGGGCATTATGTTGAGAGGGAGAAGCTGATTTCAAACGACCACATACTGTGTGATTCCATATATTTATATCACCTCAATAACAAAATTATAGAGACGGAATTAGCGACTGCCAGGGGCTCTGGAGGTATGAGGGAAGAAGGGGTCAGAGTTGGTGGTGAGGGGGGACTAGAAAAGGAAAACATGAGGGAAATATCTGTGGTGAAGAAACAGTTCTGGGGCCTCCCCTGGTGCAGCGGTTGAGTGCTGGGATGCAAAGCTGCCGCAAGCCTCTGCAGCGCCGGATTGATCCCCGGCCAGCGAGAGTCCCACATGGTGTGCAGACCTCTCCTGTGTGCTTGTGCTGCTCCCCTCAGCAGTGCATTTTATCAGTCTGCCTGTTCTTTTCCCCACTCTGGCTCTGGTGAATTCTCTCACCCTCCCGCGCTTCTGACTGTACACAGTGTTTGTATAAATAAATAAATAAATAAATCTTTAAAAAAAACACAACAAAAAAGAAACAGTTCTGTATCTTGATTGTGGTGGTGGTTACATGTGAGGTAACACAAATGTGGATTAATACACCATTCAGTCCCTGGTTTGACTATAGTCCTGGAATTCTGGAATTAGGAAAGTGGTAAGTTGGATGAAGGGTTTGGGAGACTTCTCTGAACTGTCTTTGCAACTGCCTAGGAATCAATAATTACTAGAAAATAAAGTTTTAAAATGTACATTTTTAATCTTAAAGAACCTAAAACAAAGCAACTATCTATACAAGCGTACTGTGAGAAACAGACCTAATAGAGGGCCCTGGAGTCTGTGCTAACTTATTCCATTAGCATCTTTAATGTAAAAGGACCTGAGGCTGCAGGGGTGACACAGGATCCCAGGAGAACCCATAGGAAGTGCTTGGCCACACTGGACTCTGTGTTTAATTCTGTTCTCCTTGTATCTTTAGCCCCTCATTTCCAGTGGAAGGAAGGCCCTAGGCAGTGGGTCTGCTTGCTAGCCTTCACAGCAGGTGCTTAGTAAACAGAGCCTGGGGGTGGGGGGGAATGTGATTGCAGATGCCAATGATACCTGCCCTGGGTCAATCCTTTCATGGTTGGCATCTGATCCAGGTTCTAGATCACAATTTCTCTGCCCCTTCTTGCTAGCCTGAGCTCCTGGTTTTAGAATCCACTGTCTGTAGTCATGTCCTTACACAAACCTATGGCTTTCCATGATGACTTAGACCTGTGACAGAATCTGGGGCCTGGTGCTCTGCGACTGGTGAGATCCAGTGGGCAGCACTGGGCAGTGTACCCAGGGGACCGGACAGGGAGTTGCCTCTACTAGGCCAATTCTGCACTCTCCTCCAGCCCAGCATGTCTTCTACTCAGTGGAGTACCATCTCCATAAATGCCCCTTTCTCCCCCTTACTTCCCCTCCCCTAGATATGAGATATTCATGAGTCTATATTCTAAATTAGCCACATTCTTAGACAAAACAGGTACAGAGCAGCAAGGACATTAAGTGGATACATATGTATATGTATGAATATATGCATATATATGGGTTATATTTCTGTATTTTCAGTTTTCAATAATGAATAAGGATTATTTGTGAATTAAAAATAAAGTTGTAGTAAAGAAATTATCAGTCAAGGTCAAATGGAGGGACATTGTACAAAATAACTGACCAGTACTCTTAAAAGTGTCAAGACAAAAACTGAGCCATTAGCCAAGATTAAAGGAAATAAAGAAGATATGACAACTAAATGCAAAACAGAATCCTGGACTGGATCCTGGAGCAGAAAAGGGGTATTAGTGGGGAAATAAGGACACCTTGAATAGGGTTTATAGAACAATTGAGAGTATAGCATCGGTGTTAATGTCCTAATCTTGGTTTATGAGATATGGACATTAAAGGAAGATTTGTAAAAAGAATGGGAATCATTTATACTATTTTTGTAGCTTTCTTTTAAATCTAAAATTACTTCCAAGGAAAAATAAATAAAATGGAACCAGTGACAACCAACAACCCACTCTGTAGGATACTTAGAACCCCAGAGTCTAACATTAGTATGCACTTCACCCCTCCATTTGCAGGGGCCCAGTATCATGGGTTTGGATCCTAATCCTAGGCCTTTCCTGATTCCAAAGTCTCCATTCCTTCATCCCCCTATCCATGGGTCTCTTTTAGCCTCTAGACTTCTCCCTCTCTTGTCCTCCAGCTTTGGGAGAAACTCCAAAGTCACCTCAATGACAGGCCTCATCCCCTCCATGATTAGAAGAGGCCAGATGATCTCAACTCCTGGTGTCACAACACTTCACAGTCACCCCCTTAAGTACATCTGACTGATAGAAAGTGCTCTTGACTCTCTCTCCCCTACACAGACAGGGGACCTGGGAAGGCAGAGGCCTGTCACCTGTGGCGTGCATGGTGGAGGAGTCCATTGAGATCCTGGCAATCCAATCACTGGTGCTGAGATAAGGGAGGCACCCACGCCCCAGAACACAGAACTGGTAAGAGCACCACCTGTCATCAGTCTGGCCTGATGCCTGCGCTTGTGCCCTGGGGAGAAGGGCGGGGCAAGTCCAGCAGAAACCCTTGGGTGGGGTTTCAGTTGCAGTCACCCAAGTGCTGGGCCTGCCCAGCCTGGTTTCCCTTACTCGTCACCATCAATGGGTGCCCTTTAACCAGTCACTAAAAGGTCACTCAATCAGCCCAGAGTTCCAGGCAGATGACAGAGAGGGTTGGTCAGAACCAATTAAAAGTTGGAGCCATTGTCAATCTATTTCTCCTGCCTGCAGGCAGCAGCACCGCCAAATTCAGAACTAGTGAGAAAATGTCACCCACAAGCTAGATGTTTCAGAAGGTGTTTGAAAAACTCCTTTGCCCTGAATTGCTCACCAGACTTCAGTGTCTTCATTAGTGAAACAGGACAGTTGGTTCTGAGAGGACTGGAGTTCTGTTCAACACTCAGCTCTGCAGAGTGGAACAGACTAGCTGCCCAGCAGGGATTCAGTCCACAACGCAAGCAGCCACTGGATGGCCCAAAGAGTTAAGGCAGCATCACAGGACTCCTGTGTAACCAGGGCAGCTCCCACTGCTTTATGGCAGATGCTGTCATAAGCTGCCTCCTGAGCCAAGTCCACATAAATCCAAGTTCAGAGTCCACTGACCTGACAATTAAGAAATTGATAGCAGACTCTTTCTCCGAAGGAAAGACAGAACTTGAGAAAAATCACAAATAAGCAGCTGGAGAAAATAAATCCTATTAATGAAAATCCATTTCCAACATCTTCCTGCAGATCCAGGATATTTTGGTGGGGACCCTCCACCACTGCAATCACTAGGAGGCCTGCGGGTTCCCCAGGGTAGGTTTCATGCCCCCACACCCCATAGCACAGAAGCCCAGAGGAGTGCAGGGGGCGTTAGGGAACATCTGGCTCTGAGCCAGACAGGGGGAGTGGGGAATGGGAATCCCAGCAGCTCTGCCTCTGGTCCCTTTCCCTACCCCGCCGCCCTTTCTGCAGGTGGCCAGCTGGCCGGCACTCACCACCTCCGGCAGGATGAAAGCGTAGGGGACCGTAAGGAAGAGGGAGACCCCGGAGGGCACCTCTGGCGGGGCGTGGCTGGTGGCCGGTGGCGGGTCCCGGGCTGCCATGCTCTCACCCCTGCCAGGCACCCGCGGCTCCGCTGCAGCCGAGCGCCCTGCAGCCCTCAAATATCACCTCCTGCCCGACACACCCATCAGACGTCGTCTGGGAGGGGAAAAAAAAAAGTTCCAGCCGAGCAGGTCCTTCCACTCCCTCAGCCAGAAGAATCCTCAGTGAAATGCGGAGTGCGCATCAGATGGGCCTTCCAGGAGGCGCTGGGCACAGCCCGGGCTCCCAAGGAGACACAGATTGGGAGTCTCTTCCCAGACTTTTGCTCCTAGGAAGTTGTTGACTCCTGCAGCATATTGCACCAGGGAGACGGCTGCAGCCATTGCTGTCCACCCACAGCAGAGGTGAAAGCTGAGACCTTGTATTGAGGACCTACTATGAGCCAAGCAATATCTTCAGATGATTCTGGTGCTCCCACAATGCTGCACATGGCTATCACCCTTTTGCCAAGTGAGGAGACCTAGAATCTCTGGTCACTGAAAATGGGTCTTACATCTGCCTGTCCCTCCTGCCCGCCAGGCCCCTTTCCACCTCTGAGAGTCACTGTCCACTCGAACCAGAGGGAGAGGATAGCCCTCACTTCCAGTTCCTGTCCTGGGACTTGACCCTTCTCTTCTCTCCCTCACATAGCAAATGGAGGAGGACCCCTCTCTGGGAGAAATCCCCTCAGCAGAATCTGGAGAAGGGCCAGCTGGCCAGGTGCTGCCCCAAACTCCAGTGAGCCCTCCTCCCCGCCCCCTCAGGTCCCCCCACTGACTCCCAGTCAGTGCTGAGGGAGCTGGGCTTGGGGCCAGGCCATTCCTTCCTGCCTGCCTGCAGGCCAAGCCTGGGATGTGGCTGTGACCCAGCACAGCAGCCTCTCCAAAGACAGCACTGGAGAGTTGAGCTCTTTCCCTCTCTACCTTAAAATCAACCACCCCACAGAAAGGACTCCAGAGCCTGCTTGGGCTGCAGGGCTTGGGGTTCCTTCTCCAGGGCCTCAGCCTTGCCTACACAAGCCAGTCAGGAAGCCACACCCTGGTGTGGAGGGGATGTGGGGTAAATAGATGTCCTGTGACAAGAGGCCAGTGTCTGCCCACTAGCAAGGCCAGTGTGTTCCAGGACTTGCAGGGGGTGGAGATCCAGCTGGGCCTTTGCCTGGCCTGGGGAAAGCCAGGGCTGAGGGGCGTTTGACCAACTGTAGCCAAAGCAAAGGCACTGCAAGGCGAGGCAAAGGGCACAGGAGAAACCTCAAGCCAGCTTGGGGCCCTTCTCCCAGGTGTATGGGAGGAAGTGAGGCTGTACTCTTGCCTCTTGCCCCCTCTTAAACATGGCAAGTAAACCCTGGGCCATCTTTCTGGGCCATTGTGCAGCGTGGCATGGTGGGGACAGCTGAAGGAAAACACCCTGTGTCAGGTTCGTTTCTCATCTATGAAGTGGAGGTAATAATAGATCTCGGAGACCCTCAGAGATAGCGTCGGCGCCACTTCATCTTCTGAAGCAGTCAGTGCATTAAGAATGATGATGTGACAAAACAAGGACATTAAAAATGTGGCATAAGGGCCTCCCCAGTGGCACAGCGGTTGAGCGCTGGGTTGCGGGGCTGCCCGCAGCCTCTGCAGCGCCGGCTCTATCCCCAGCTGCTCCCCGGCCACTGGAGGAGGGTCCCACATGGCTCATGGACCTCTCCTGCCGCCGCTGCTCCCCTCAGCAGTGTACTTCGGTCCTTCTGCCTGCTCTGCTCCCCGCTCTGGCTCTGGTGAATTCTCTCACCCTCCCGCGCTTCTGACTGTGCCCAGTGCATGTATAAATAAATAAAAATAAAAAAATAAAAAATAAAATAAAATCACTCATTCATAAAAAAAAAAGTGGCATATGTTAAATATTTACATTTAACCGAGAAGTGTGATAGTATTTATGAGAAATTATAACACACCCCACATCAGCTGCTCACCTTCCAGTCCAGTCAGTGCCTCTCTGGGGCTGCAGGTGCAAATGCACTTGGAGACACATACAGGTGTGAGGCCGTGGGGGTGCCGGGTCCAGAAGGGTGGTCTGTAGAGGGCTTGCTGGTTCCCAGCTCTTAGGGCTGAGGATAAGAGTTAATTTTAAGTTCACTCAAGCAGTACTTGAAGCTGTTCATCACTATTATCATTGCCTCCATCTTCTCACTTGTTAGTTGGGTGGGTAAAATGAGACAATATATGTGAAAACATCTAGGGCAGTTCTGGCCTTTGGTAGATGCTTCATAAATTACTGGTTTGTCTAATTCTAATGCTGAGATCACTTTTCTTCTGACTCTTTTCCATGGTAAGACCAGCACCTGCCCTATTTATAGTTCCATTCTGATAAAAAAAAAAGTTTCAAAAAATTTTTTTAGTTAAGATTTATTTTTTAAATTTATTTATGCATACAATAGCTGGGAAAAAGGCCAGAGGTGGGGAGTGGGTGGTGGTGAGAGGATTCACCAGAGACAGAGTGGGGAGCAGAACAGGCAGATCGACTGAAATACACTGCTGAGGGGAGCAGCGGGTGAGACAGGAGAGGTCTGCTGCGCCATATGGGTCACCTCCCTGGCCGGGATCGAACTTGCACTACTTGCACTGCAGTGGCTGCTGATAGCTTCATAGTGCCGAGACTAAACCCCTTGTGCCACCAGGGAGGTGCCCAATGTTTATTTTTTAAACTAAGGAATAGTACCTTGAGGTGTACAGAACACAGAGAACATAACAACCACTATTTGGAGCAAGAAATGGAAGGTTGCCACCCTCCTCCCAATCACTTCCCTTCTTTCCTCCCCAAATACCTACTCTCAAGATACCTCACCCCATAAGTGGTTTTTGCTTGATTTTGAATGGAGTATATTGATTGTGTCTGGCTCCTTCCACTAATGGTATGCCTGTGAAACTCCACGCTGTTGTGTGTTGCTCTCTTTCACTCACTGTTACATGGTATTCCCATTTATGAATGTGCTACTATTTATCCATTCTATTGTTAATGAGCATTTGGGTTCTTTCAATTTGGGGTCATAATTAAAACACTGCTATGAACATTCTAGAATATATCTTTTGGCACATTTGTATATGCATTTCTATTGGGAATATCTTAAGAGGGTAGTCATGGATCACGTGGTGTACTTTTTAGCAGATAATGTCAACTATTTTTCAAAGTGGTTAAAACATTTATATTTCCACCAACAATACCTGCAAGTATTATTGTTTATAATCGATGGTTGTAATATATGATAACACACTCTGTATTTGCATGGTATATATCTTTCCACTTTAACTTACCTCTATCACTACATCTGAAGTGGGGGTTTTGGTGTTTGTGTGTGACTGTGCTATAATTGCCTCTCTTTTTAAAAATCCACTCTGGGGCCTCCCTGGTGGCACAAGGGTTAAGACGCAACCTATGAAGCAATCCGCAGCCACTGCAGCATGAGTTTGATCCCCGGCCAGGGAACCACTCATATGGTGCAGTAGACCTCTCCTGCCTTGCCCGCTGCTCCCCTCAGCAGTGTATTGCAGTCAATCTGCCTGTTCTGTTCCCCACTCTGTCTCTGGTGAATCCTCTCACCACCACCCCCCCCACATCGCTGGCCTGTTCCCCAGCTCTGGTATGCATAAATAAATAAATCTTTAAAAAAAATCCACTCTAACAGCCTATAATTGGTATGCTTGGATTATTTATATTTAATGTAATTATTGGTATGTTTGGATTTATGTCTGTCATTTTGTTTATTGGTTTTTGTTTCTCTTGTGTTTCATTTTCTTTTTTATTTCCTCCTTCCTGCATTTTTGTGGGTTGTTTGAATATTTTCAGTATTCCACATTAACTCATTTTGACTACATCTCTTTTTTATTACTTGTTTAGAAGCTGCTGTAGGAATTACAATGCACATAGTTAACTTTTCAGTCTACTTATTTTGCCACTTCAAGTTGAAGGTAGAATCTTGGGGACCCTTTGCCCCCTGGCTTTTCAGTTGTAGTTATCAGACATGTCATCTATACACACATCGACTCCATTAGACAATGTTGTGATTTTGACTTTCAACCGTCATATATTTTAAGGAAATTAAAAGAATCCATTATGTTTACCCAGTTATTTACTATTTCTGTTGTGCTGCTTTATCCCTAATACTCCAGGTTTCCTTCTATCATCATTTCCTTCTGCCTGAAGAGTTTCATTTAGCTTTTTTTTTATTTATACAAGAACCGGGGTCCAGGCCAGATGTGTGGGAGGGTGAGAGGATTCACCAGAGACAGAGTGGGGAACAGAACAGGCAGATCGACTGAAATACACTGCTGAGGGGCGTAGCAGGCGAGACAGGAGAGGTCTGCTGTGTCATGTGGGTAGCTCTCTGGTTGGGGATCAAACTCGCGCTACAGTGGCTGTAGATAGCTTCATAGGTTGCATCCCAACCCCTTGCGCTACCAGGGAGGCCCCATTGTGTGATTTTTTTGATGAGACTGTTGCTCTTTCTATTTATTTCAAGGGGATTTACTCTTACTTCTTGGACCATGATTGTAATCACTTTAATGTCTTGATTGCAACTGTGTCACCTAAAAGTTATTTCAGAGTTGTCTCTTGATTTTGTTTTTCTCTTTCCCTTGAGAGATATTGAGATTTTCCTGGGTCTTCAACATCAAGTAATTTTTTATTGCATCCTGGACATTTTGAATATTAAGCTATGGGGTTATGGGTTTTGTTTAAATCCTATGGAAAATGTTGACTATTTGTTTCATCAGTCAATCAATCTGGTTAGGTTCAGGCTGCAATTTCTTACTTGTCTTCTCTGAACACTATCAGTCAATTTTTGAGGCTTGCATTCTGATGTGTTCAGTGTATGTGTTAGTTTTGACCAAATCTCTTGATATGTTGAGCATGGTCAGCCTTGGGGTGAATGCAGGAGTTCTTATGGATTACTTTCTTTGGCTCTCTCCTCTCTATGACCTCCTCAACACTTCCCAGTTCCCAGTTCTGGGTCCCTTCTCAAATTTTGTGCTCCCTCCACTCTTATCTTGGTGCTCTAGTTAAAATGCTAGGATTTTCCTGGCAATTCTACTCCCAGGGATTCACCCAAAGGACACAAAAACATTGATTCAAAAGAACACCTGTACCCCCATGTTTATTGCAGCACTATTTACAATAGGTAAAACCTGGAAACAACCCAAATGCCCAAAAATAGATGACTGGATCAAGAAGATGTGGTATATATACACAATGGAATATTATTTAGCCATCAAAAAGATAAACTCATGCCATTCACAGCAACGTGGATGGAGCTAGAAGGAATTATGCTCAGTGAAATAAGCCAGAAGGAAAAAGAAAACTATCGGATGGTTTCACTTATAGCAGGAATATAGGGGAACCCAATAAGACATCAATGTAAAAAGAATAATAACAGTACAATACACAACAAAGCAAAAATGGACAATTATAAATCAGACATACTGCAGGGGAGGAGGCTTTCTGTATCTTTTAGAAAAGATTTACAGGTTGCCTAAAAAAAATCAGGGACAGGCCAGGAGAAAACCAGAAATGTTTACATCCCTTAGGGTTATTTCCATAGTTAGGGTTTAACGAACACCCAGCTTTAACAATGAAGGAAATTTACTACCTCAGGTAAATGAGAAGTCCAGAAGGAGCATTAACTTCAGGTGAGAGTTGAATAATATTCCCAAGGACTAGATCTCCTGTTTATGATCTGCCTGTTATGTCATTGAGGTTGGACTCATTCTTACCCTCACTGAGTGCCACACCCATGCATACACCACTCTAAGCTCTCCCTTCCTGGCAGCCATACTGCTGCAGCACAAAGCACTCCCTTCCCACCTCTCCCACTACACCAAGCAGGAAAGGAGAAGTCTCTAATGAGTAAATCATCTGGGATTTGTTCTCTACTGGCTCATTCCCAGTCCACCACTGTGACCAGGGGTTGGGATATGCTGATCTCCTTGAGCCAATTAGAGCCCACTCGTGGAATCAGGCTAAAAATGTTTGTGTGGGGTGTGTGTGTGTCCAAGGGTGGCTCCTCTAGAAGGGGGAGTGGGTGAAGTTTCCCAGAGAGAAGCAAATGGATGCTGGGCAGCAAAAGCAGCAGATGCCCACGCAAGAGGAACCTGGCTTTCCCCCTTCCTACAGTTACTTTTTCTACAAATCAGGGTCACTTTGACGCTCAACTGGGGGAGACAGAAAGCGCACAGATAGGCCCTGGCTAGGAAAAGGCTATGGTTTGTGGCTGTCAGGCAGAACTGGGTCTAACTCCCAGTGTTTATCTGTAAGGTCTGACCAGAAAAGAATGCCCCAGGGTCAAAGGACAGCTGATAGGAAGACGAAAGACTCAATAATATTTGGGTCACCAGAGCGATCTATCTGGAGAAGGGTCAGAAAATGTGGAACATTTTTTTTGTTGTTGTTATCCTACAAGTGGACTCTTCGAAAGGACAAAGTTCTGCAATAGTGTAGCGGCAGGAATGGCCACTGAGCAGGTTTTCTGATCCAGCAGACCGGGTAAAGGAGGAGTCAGAGTCCTTAGTGGCTTTTGCAGGTCTTTTATTTAGATTTACCAGGCATATGGCAGGCAGGGGTGCCGGGCTAGCAGGCCTCCCAGCCCCCAGCAAGTCCTTACTCTGGGCTCTCCAGCCTTCTCTCACATTCTCTCTGCTCTTCTTCTTTCTCGGCTTCTGCTGGCGTCCCGTGATGCCGCCCTTATAAACTGTCTCTCAGCCCAGGTGTACCCACTTCAGATACCCGCCATCAGGCATGCATTCAGGACCACAGGGTTCCCTCATTTGATTACGGGTGACTTTAATAGATTCTGTGATGCCAAGAGGCTTCCTTGTCCTCCTTGGCATTCCTCTTGATTTTTCAGAAACTACCCGTATTCCTTTGAGTTTGAGAGCGCCGGCTCTCAACTTCGCCCAAGCTAGCTATCATTGTTGTGACGTCTGTATCTGACGTCTCACATGGAGTGCTAGAACTGCCAATAGGGATCCAAATGAGGAGGGGGCATTCCTTAATACCAAGTCTCTCATCCCTGCTGTGAAATGTTCGTCGTCAGGACCACGGGTATTCACATTAAACAAGGCCTGCTGCATCCCCAATTCCCCAAGTACCTGGACCAGCTCGGCGAACGTCTGCCAACCGCTTACTGTCTCTGGCACGTCTCCCACATCAGCCCATACTGTCCGTATGGCAGCCATTATGCACTCCAGGAGGGTGTGGTCGCCCTGGCCACACCACCGGCTGTTCTGCAGCCTCTGTCGCAAGGATGGGTGTGAAGTCACGGAGGCCAGTCTCTCCATCTCTTGTGCCGTGCAAATAATCCCATCCACCCCCAGGTCCCCATAAACGTAGCAGCCAGGCTGCCAAGGGTTCCCCTGGTTTCTGGCGGAACTGTTTGCCCAAGTCCTGCAGTTCTGCCTGGGTGTAAGGTCGGTAGGTAGTGAATTCCGTCATCTGTGGTGGTCCCGCAGCCTGACCACCTGGGGCCAATGGTCGCTGCCGCTTCATTTTCTGAGTCACCACCGGGCGGGCCCGGAGCATGGGCCCAGCCTCCTCCTCCTCTCCAGAGGAGTCCGGCATCTCCGGGGTGGCGGGTTGGTTTGCCACCACCAGCTGCGATTCGGGCAAAGGGCCAGCCTCCCTCTCCTTCCTTTCTGAGATGGAGTCTGGCGTCTCCGGAATGGTGGGTTGGTTTCTCCGAACTTCTTCCTCCAGATTCCTCAAATGTTGTTGCAGTATCCGCATCTCTTCTCGCATTTCATCCCGTACTTGCTGGACCCTAGATTGCTCTTTCTGCCTGGACTCTCGCAGAGCTGTGAGAAACACCCATCCCACGGCTCCTGCCGCCTCGCGGGCACTGCATCCATCAGGGTTTCTTCTGCTTCATACAGGGCCTGTTCCAACTGCCCCGGGGATCCATCTACCTCTGGCCATTCCTGGGGAGGTGCCCACTGGGCGAGGAGGTCGGCCACCGAGTACCATCTGCTCGTGGCCGGCCACCTGGCAATCCCTCCCCAGGTTCCAAAGGGTTTCGTCTGCGAAGAGCCGTCCTGCTTCGAACCGTCCTGCTGTCTACGCCACTTGTAATGCAACCAACCCATTCCGGGCAGGTTTATGAACGGTTCTAGCAGCCACATGCTCTTTGCTGTTGTTTGCAGTCGCCGCTCTCCTCCGCACACTCCACTGCCCTCCTCCACCCTCCACACCGCACCACCACACACCGCACTCTGCTGCGCCACCCTTATAAACCAGTCTCTTAGCCCAGGTGTACCCACCTACGCATGCCCACACCCTACTCCAGGCGCCCGCCATCAGGCATGCATTCAGGTCTGCAGGGTTCCCTCATCTATCCTAATGGCAGGAGGGCAGAAAAGCCTGATACCTTTTACCTACCCTACACATAGTTAATATTTGCTGCCAAGTTAAACACAAATGACTAGGTTAAGGTCTAGCCTGTTTCCTTAGCATCAGGAAGGGACTAAGCAGACATACTAGCACAGTCCTGAGGATGAGCTCTATTCCATGAATAGCTTCCATTTTCCATTCTATTGCTGCATGAAGACCTGTGTACCATCATTTAGTGTCATGCTGAATCTGAAAGCTCCAGGCCTCCATTTCCTACCCGAGGCAGGACAGCTCCTCACTCACCATTCACCATCACCCTACTCGGCCCCCTCCCTGTCCAAATCCATTTAGTTACTGCATTCAAACATTAGAAGCTCAGATAGCAAGTTTGGATATTGGGGATACCAGGTTATCAAATCCATGTTTTCCTGAGCAGCAAGTGGCGGGGAGGTGGGGCAGTCAGAGAGTGAGGGTTCATCCCCTAATTGTTTGGAATCTAGTTGTTCCCAATGTTGAATAGTAGAGTTTGTAGAGAGAGACTGTGGGCAGGAAGGAACTCCTATACTGACTGCTTACTTTGTGCCTGGTGTGGTGCTATCACATCCAGACCACAGTGGTGTTGGAAGGTTAATGTAACTACAATAAAAATACACAGTGATAGGTCCTTTTAGCTGTCTGTACCCATGCTTCATAGTTCTTTTGTGTGATTACTGTCCACCTCACGCATGGTAAGTTAGGACAAGGATCATGCCAGTGCTGCCCCACTGTGTCCTCAGAGCCTGCAGCATATTAGGTGCTCATTGAATATGTGTTGAATAAATGAATGAATCAAAGGACAATTACAAACCTCAGATGCACCGTGAGGTTTTTTTAAGGAACAGAACACAAAGCAGCAAGATGACAGCTAGCTCTGCTTACCTCCAAGCCCTGTGAAAAAGTCCCAACTTGGAATGCTTCCCACGAGGAAGCTGAGCCAGTCCACAGCAAAGGATATCCTACAATGCTCAAAGCTGACAAAGTCCTCAATGGGCAGATGACACTTCTAGCCCCTCCTTTGTTCAACTGATGGGTTTCCAGAATGCCACTGGGTTGGCAAGTTGAACCTACTCCACCTGTATGTGGTGTTGTATATTTCAAGTGGTTCCTTGGGAGTAGTTCTGGTCTCATACACTAGAACATGACAACACTAAAGACCCTTTGCCATCTAGCACAAGCACCAGAAGAGGGAACTGGGAATCACAATGTTATTCATCTCCCACAGACCTGATGGCTAGGAGATTCCATTAGTTTTAAAAGATTGGGAGGTTGGGGCTAGAGTGCCACAGAGATTACAGTTAGGCTCTCTGCTCTACCCTGTCCTTTCCCCTGTTCTGATGTGGGGAAACCCCTGGCCTGACAGGTAGGCACGGGTGTGGTCACTCAGGAATGACCTGCTGGTCGCCCTGCTGCTCCCGAGCTCAGCTCACGATTAATTCAGTGTGTTGCTAAGTCACACTCCTTGACATAGACCCCTAGGACTCATTTCCAGGATGTTTTTGGCTTCCTGACAACCTTTTCCTGTTTTGGAAGCTAAAAAGTGGCACTTAAAAAACCAGTTAGGTTTCATTGTTTTGTTTTGTTTTTTTTTTTTAAAGATTGCACTGAAGAGAGAAGGTGGAGTCTCCCAATGGCAGAGTCACCCTCACCCCTGCAGAGGCCCCTCCTATTACAGACTGCCTTTGCGCCTAAACATCACTGAAACTCTTTCCTCTCATGTCCCCATATTTTTCTCATGTGTCAGAACAATAAGGTGGCCTGCACTTGTCCATCATGACACATTTCAAACACGGAAGACAGTCTGCAAAAACACATTCTAAAGAAAGCTCTCTCTTCTCATTGAAAAGAATTCACTAGTAATATTTCCTTTCATTCAAAATGCCCCACCCTTGGAGTAAAGCCAGTAAGCTAAATGACTAAAAAGAATTAAAAGGTGGCACTTAGAATTTAAAAATTCTATGGAAAAGAGAACTTCACGATGGGGAGTGACACGTTTTCATGTTCTTTCAAAGTTTGACTGCAGGGGCCCAAGAGGTGGCAGTCAGGGACAGAGTGGGGAAACCCCTTACACGCTGGCCACCTTCATTTGAAAGGGAGAAACCTCCTCCTGCTGAGTACGAGCTGGAGGGGGCCACAGCCCCAGAGAAGGGTGAGTACTACCTTAGGAAGGTCTGGGCAGCTGCACAGTAATGGGCAAAAGAATGGCCCTGAACACTCAGCTGCCCCAGGCGCTTAGGGCAGAGGGGAACTCGGGGTTGGAAATCTGCAGAAACCAGCTTTTCGAGAGAATGTGATCTCTTTTCCAAGGCCAAATTTCTTGTCACCCTTCCTTGCCATGTTAATTCTGGCATGAAGCCCCAAGTTAAGTTCAGGTGAAGGGTTTAGGGGAAGCTGACTGTAGGGTAAGTGATTATCAGGCTTTTCTGCCCTCCTGCCATTAGAATTGATGATGGTTCCCTGCGGTCCTGCATGCATGCCTGATGGCGGGCACCTGGAGTAGGGTGTGGGCATGCATAGGTGGGTACACCTGTGCTGACAGATTGAGCTCATAAGGGCGGTGTCACTGGACGCCAGAAAATGGAACCAAAAAGGCATGAAAGAGAAGCAGAAGAGAGAGAATGAGACCATGAGAGAACACCGGACAGCCTCTCCCAGTGCCCCCCACTCCCACCGGCCCCCACCCCCGGCACCCCTGCCTGCTGTGTAGCTGGTAAACTCAATAAAAGCCTGACAAAGCCGCTGAGGGCTCCAGGATTCTTCTTTACCCATCTGCACAGGATTATAAATATCCTGGCCTGTGCCTTACTGGCACTACACTAAGATAACAGTCCAGAAGTTTCATTATATGATAGGTCTCCAAAAAATAAATACCTCTTGGGCCTCCCCGGTGGCGCAACAGTTGAGTGCTGGGTTGTAAAGCTGCCCGCAGCCTCTGAAGCGCTGGTTCAATTCCCGGCTGCTCCCTGGCCACCGGAGGAGGGTCCCACATGGCGCGCAGACCTCTCCTGCCACCCGCTGCTCCCCTCAGCCGTGTACTTCGTCAGTCTGCCTGTTCTGCTCCCCGCTCTGGCTCTGGTGAATTCTCTCACCCTCCCGCACTTCTGACTGTACCCAGTGCTTGTATAAATAAATAAAAATAAATCTTTAAAAAAAAAATAAATACCTTTTATACGGTAGCATGCCATCAAAACCACTACCTCAACTGGTATTCTGATCCTCTGGATTAAACTCTTCCTAGTTTGATCGTCTTGTCTTCAAAGAGCCTTCTTGTGTTTTATGTTCACAAGCAATTCTTACAGGGTTGCACTGATGAGGGTGACCAGAAAAATATACATGGTGTCTTCAATGGTATATTAACTGTGCTACTTACTGCCTCTGATGGTAGGCAAGTTACTTCACCTGCCTGGTCTGTTTCTTCAGCAGTAACATAGGGGGAAAAGAGAGGGTTGTGAGGGTTAACCAAGTTAATTGACAACACGCACAGTAGGCACTCAGTAAATGCTGTATTATTACAGTAAAACTGTACTTAATAAAGTTAAAGCCTTGGGACAATTACCAATAGTCACCGGTTTACTGAAATGCAACAAACCTTTGTTCTTTGCTATGGGGTGCGCATTTACTTACTCCCCAAAGCCTAAAAGTTTTCTGCATGTTTTTTTTGAAAGAATATTTACATGGATTTGAAAAGGCAAAACTAGATTCTGCTTTTATATCTAATAGGCTAAATCTCATGCAAATATTGAACTGAATTAAGTGATTAATAACAACTTCATCAAATAGATTCTACTGATTCCCCTTTCATTTCACAACATAAACTTTATTAGCTATAATCATACATTACATATTCTGGATACTAGACTTACTAGCTTTTGATAAAATGTTACTTTTATACAAATTATAGATACAGCCAACTTTAAGTTAGTTGGTTTTTGAAAATTATCTCTTTACATTTAGATATAGTATTTCTTATAAAATTAATTTTTTATAATGTTTTAAAACATATTCAAATAATTGGGTGAATATTTCTTATAAAATGTGGCCTGTAAAAAAAAGTAAAACCTAGGTTGTTATTTGATAGTTACTTTTGGTTCTGTCATTTTTTTCAGGTCATCACAAACAGTTCATCAGATTCAGGGGAAGCTGAGGGTTGAGGGCCATCCTCAGGCTGCATTCTTTCTTATTTCACCCAAGAAGTCATAGGTCTGCTCTGAAATGTCAAAAGGTTCGTGGACTCCATCTGGTGACAGCAGAGCTTGAAGGGCACCCTCATTTTCTTGGTTTTGCTTAAGGAAGTCAGCGATGACTTTCCAACGTGCAGCCTCAGTCTCTTCTTCTGCCCACCGGAAGGGGGGCAGGAATGTGGAATGGAGAAGAGGCAGCACACAATCATGGTAAACCAGGAGAAACACAGTCTTCAGGTACTCTCTGTCTCTCTGGGAAAACAGCACCACAAATAATTACGAGGAGCTCCATATCGTTAATTTTTAAGTATGAATTTCTACGAACTCTGTTAACTAAAACTCTGAACTTTGTGCGGGATGGAGGTGCTTGGTGCCTGGCAGGTGCCTGGTGCAAGCTCTGAATCAGCAGTCAGGAAAGAGTGCCCTCGAGGGGGAAGCAAGCAAGAGTCATGGGAATGGAGATAAGCAGCTCTCCCTGAGGGTCTGCAGTGGCTCCTTGAGACCAGGGTATCTCTGAAGCTCCAAGGGTGTCTCACACATTCTATCACGGAAACTCTGGTGCTGAATCTAATTCTGGTGACAAGGGTATGGTTCCAGGTTCACAGAACTAAGACACTGTGAAGTCTGCTGTATCCACTTCATCGGATCACAGCGTATCAGAGATAATTGCAAAGCTGTCATGAGAGCTAGGTGGCAGGTGTTCTGCAGGGAATCCAGAAAAAGCAGATCCAAGGAATAAAAAATTGTCAAACCTTTTCCAGATAACTGAGTACCACAATGACCACACTGTCAGCCAGTCCTGACACTCACAGACTGGGTGGGGATCTCAGAGAGCAGAGAAGCCTGAGGTGGAGAGATCCACACCTGGCAGTACCTCCAAGATGTGTGGAGGGGATTTTTATAGGACTAAGGCCCAGCACCTTGTCCACTTCTACACTGGAACAGCCTTAAAACTGCCAATTTTAGCAAAGGCCAATGTAGATGGTACTGGTCCGTAGAAACTCAAATAAGGATATAATAGCTAAAAATATATAATATCTATACAGTTTTTCTCAATATTTAGTTTTGTTTGTTCTCTCATGTTCCTTGCAGATAATTAATACTTCAGATTGGAAGTTCAAAAACCACGGCCCATGTTACAAATGCAGCCCACTGTCTCATTTTATTAAGTTTTATGAAGCACAGCTGTGCTCATATCACAGTTGTTTGCATATTATTTGCAGCTGATATTGGATCACAATGGCAGAGTGAAATATTATAGTTGCGACAGAGACCTATGACCTGCAATGCCAAAAACATTTACTATCTGGCCCATTATAAAGACGTCTGCCCATCCTAGGTTGGAACAGTCAAGCCATGACTCCTTGATTGACACAAGTCCTGTTGGGTAATGACCATGCTTCTCTGGCGAGGGAGGCATGAGCCATGGGTTTTGTCAATGACCTAGGCCTTCAGTTTAGGTCGATTTTCTTTTCCATTCTCCTTACCTGATACGTACTTTGAGAGCTAGAGGATTTTTTAAAAAATAATAGAAATTTGATAGCCAAAAGGGAGATTTTGGTTTAGAAACTTCCCCTGAATTTAAAAGAATTCAGTCATCTGAAAATAGTGTCTGGATCAAGAATTTCTTTTCACATTAGGAAAAAACCACCCATGTGTATTTACAATCGTAATGACAGTTTAACTGCATAACAAGAATGATGACTGGCTACTTTAGCTAAAAAAGAGGCATTATTAGAATGTGCAAGCAAACACTGAGTACTGCCAATGGTAAGTTCAGCATGGAAAATCAAATTACCTTCTCTGATCTTTTCAATGTGCTTTCTTTCTCAGCCCATGAACTCTAAAAAGCAAACAGAAATATTATATTACTCGGAGTATTCGTAAGTCTTTGCCACAGTTCCGTAACTTCAATGTACTTAAACTTATGGCTGAGGTTAAAAACACTATTTAGAACCTGCACGTGAAAAAAGGTTAATCTGTAATCAGGCAATACTGTTAATGACCAGAACCAGACTGACTAGGTGGGAAATATCAGAGAGAAACACCTCAGAAACCCATGATTCTAGTAAGTCAAAACTAATTAAAGAACTGATCAGTGAAACAGTAACACATCCACGCAAACATACCAACACCAGATGTGCCTTATATGAACAATAAAATATGATTAACCTTTTAAGGTAAGATAGGAACGAAAACAGAAAACGCTGCTAAATACTACCCTTCCCCGGGATTCTATATGTCTTCGTGATATAGTGGTCAGGGTAAGATGAACTGAAATAGAATTTGCAAGTAAATATTTTCGATCTTTCTACCGGCTTCATAAAACCTCTTGAAAGAAATAAAAACAAACCCAGAGTTCAATCAATCCTATAGAAGTATGTACAAATCAAGACATTCAGAGAACTAGATCCAGGCAGACTGTAAGCAAGGTGGAGGAGGGGGAAAGGTGCTCAGTTTCCAGACTGCTCGTTCCAGGCCTCACCATTGTGTCTATTTGCAGGGATCTTCCCATTGGTGCCCAGTTTCATAGATTCCATGAAATCCTCAGCCATTTCTCAGTAGGAAAGCCCTGGGTGAATGTGATATAGGGCACCAAGAAATACGATTCTCCATGAAATAAAGAGGACGTTTCCTACCAGAGTCCAAGGTTGTGCTCCTCATGAGCCTCGCCTTGAAAGGCTCAATTGTTGCCTTGAAAGGACTGTGGTCTGCCCCCTATCAACTGCCAGGCCTGTGGGTCCTGGAGAGTTGGAAGAGGACCATTAAGAACCAGAGTGTTTCTAAACAGGTCAAGTGCCATTTTCAACAACCACCACAAGCAAAATGAACTTAGCTAAGTTAACGCTGGGAGGCTCACACACTTCACAATGTAAACTTTAAAAGGCACCTGGCTTATTGTTTGGTAGTTAAATATTAAAGTCCCACATCATTTTTACTGGAATTACCAGCAAGCAGCAGGATGTTTCACTCAGTGTGAAAACTCAGTGGGGTGTTCCCAGTGGGGAATAGCAAGCATGTGTGATGGTGGTTGGGGAGTAGGGGGTGTCACTATTATGTACAAAGATCCACTTCTCCCTTCCATCTGGGACAGACTACCTCCGAACTGTCTTGAATTAAGTGGGGCCATGTGACTGGCTCTGGCCAATGACAAAAGAGCAGAAGAGGCCTGTGCCAGGTGGGGGCAATGGCAGGGAAATGCAGGACAATTCTCCATTTTCTCTTTTCTTGCAGGGGCAACTGGCAACAGAGGAAGTCACTTGTTCCAGATGATGTTATAAGAAAGTGGACTCGCCTCCAGTGTACATCCTTTGGTGACTATGGAGCAGGGTCTTTCATTGATCCATGTGGATGAGTACCATGAGTAAGAGAAAAACCTGTGTTAGTTACCACAGACTGGCTTATCCTAAGTAATATAGTTTGCCATGAAGAGAAGACTCAAGAATGTAGAAACAAATCACAATTTTAAATTTTTATCATTTAACACACAAATAATTCCTGGTAGAAAAACTAAGAAAAGAACAGAAGAAATAACCCATAGTCCAAAGGGAATTACTGTTAACTGCTTAAGAGTATATTCTTCCAGACCTTTTCACAGGCAGGTATATAAATAAATATTTAAATGTACATATGCCTCAAATGGGTGTTTTCATCTAATAATATATGTGAACAACTTTACCCACATGCCTTTTCTTGAAGAGTACGTGGCAGGCCTGACTACCCAGAGCTGCCTCGCAGGGACAGTGCCTGGCCTGTGTTAGTTATCACAGACTGGCCACTGCTGAGCTCCACAGCTAGCCAGGTTGTACTTCTCTGAGCCATCTGCTCTTCAGGGAAATGTTTAGACTAGAACACAGACTAGATTAGCCCTAAGATTTCTCCCAACACCAACATTGAGATTCTGAGATTATCATACACTGAGAGTAATTTCATTGCTCAGCACAGTGCCTTAGCCACTGAGGCTCTCGTGAAATATTTGCTGAATGAATCAATGTATGTATATTCTGTGTAATGAGCAAATATGAAACTTATGACTTAATAGGGGAAGAAAGAGAAATTTTGTATTACCTAGTGACAGTGCCAAATGAATGCCTGAAATAATGGGTAATCACATGCCCTAACATTTCTTAAGACTTTTTGCTGCAAATAAAAAAAAGATAAACTTCATGCAATTTGCAGCAACATGGATGGAGCTGGAAGGGATCATGCTCAGCGAAATAAGCCAGAAAGAAAAAAAAATACCGGATAGTCTTACTCATAGCAGGAATTTAGAAAACCTAATAAGGGACCAGAAAAAAGACTATTTATAATAAAGTAACAAGCAACTATTGGTGGGGAGGAGGGAATAGGATCAAAACAAGGCGGATGGGAATTGTAAGGGGACTATAACCAAGATGAAAATGAATATATTATAGAAAAATGAAAAGTGATATAAAAAATATATAAAATAAACTAAAAATGCTAAAAAAAAAAAAAAAGACTTTTGCTGCAAATGTCACTGTTACTATTGCTGACCCCGACTCTGGTCAAACCAGCACATGAAATCAGTTTCAGTCTGATGAAAATCTTTGTGGATGATAATCTCCTTCTATTTCTCTGTCAGGCCCCTATGACCTCCCTCCTGCACGTGAGTTTGTCTACCTCTGTGTGCTATCAAATGCCCTACAGCATGTCACCCACACTTTCCACACCCTGCACTCACATTGACCTTGCCCTTCATCTACTGACAATTTCCAACATGCAGAAATACCACATGTTCTTAAGAACACTCCCTAGTCCTTCCTTCCTCAAAATGTTTGCTCAAGCTGACATCTTACTATTTCCATCTCATCTCAGCATGCCAGATCCCGCCAGGGCCCCTGACCTTTTATTAGGTCCATTTCACCCAGGACCTCTATTGTTCCTGATCCTAGTTTGTCACTTTCTTTAAATCGCCAAAAATCTGGATATACGTACCCTGGGGCACTTGTCATATTATCTGAGTATTTTCCTTGTAGGCATACAGGTCTTTTAATATTTATTGATTCTGATATATTAACTTGAACTTTATGAAACTTCCATTTTTGAATTAAAAAAGTATCTGAAAGTTGGAAATTTCATAGGGTATGACAACGTTTTGCAGCTATTTCTCACAGTAGACAGTATATGTAAAATTAAATTAAAAATGACACACGAGCCCTGACTCTCTCCTAAGAAAATTCAATCAACTTTGTTTAACAAACCATTTCACTGGCCATCTTAAGTCAAGGAACAAATGACAGGCAAGAAGTTGCAATAGTGTACTTAGCAGATGCTCCCTCTGCTTATTGAGCCAAGGATGAGAACTCCTGGGAAGCAACATTCATAATAGGAAGAGAAGGATGAGACCAAGTTAGCTAGATAATTGGCAAGGGTTGGAAGAAATCATCCCAAGAGAAAAAAACAAAACAAAACCTGTGAGCAGGTGTCAGTAACTCACTAACATGGTGGGTGGAAGCGCTTTCAGAAGTTATTGGGTGTCCACCATGAGGATGCTACTCACCCTGAGTGCATCCATCACATCAGGCTGCTCCAAGAGCTTTGGGAAGGTGGCCAACAAGGGATTACTAATTAAATCTGAAAGACAAAAGAATGAAAGGATTTTACCCAGGCTTTAGCCAATGTATTTTACTGTACTAGACATAAAAACATTACATTTAGGTTAAAAGTACCATGTTGTATGATTTGTTAACAATATATTCTACATACTTTTAACTTCTAGGAAAGCACAAAGCTGTCCCCTCTTCTGCCCCTACATCCACACATCACTCAATTCTGAAATGAGTTTTATACCAAGTGGATGGAGTTTTTAGGGTGGAAATTAAGTGAGTACGAATAGAATAAGACTAGACATTTTGTTCATCTATGTTCCCCTTATGACATATCTGTGGATGGTAAAAGGGATCTTCCAATTAGGAGGCACCCTTGCTTCTGGAAGGCTGAGTAGGAATCAGGAAACATCAGGGGAAGTGAGGGCAGGGCAGGCTGTGCAGGCGGTAATGTCATTCTTGACTTTTTTTGAGTCATTGAAATAAATTCAAAGACAAGTGATGATTAAAAGGCTTAACTATCCTTCCCTCAGAGTTACCATTATTCTCTCAGAAATGTCTGGCACCTGACTGTGAGTTCCATGTCTCTCTATCTATCTAGGTGGTAAGTCCTGAGAAGACTCCCATCTAGTTCATCTACTGAATTCAAAGACTGTCCAATAAAATTAAACTTGTTGGGGGAGGCAATTCTTATAGCCCACAGTTTCTTCTTTGCAAGTTCAATCATGTGTAACAACTCACTCTGATATTTTTAAAAACTCACTATTTAACATTTTACCTGGAAGAAAATTCAAGCTTACAAAAAGCTGCAAGAATAAAAATAGTATATAGAACTCCTAAAGATCTTTTACCTGGATTCACCAATTTTTATTATGCCACTGAATAGTGCACTAGGAACCAACTATTTTGGGTGATTTCAATCTCTCCTCAAAGAGATAATGCACATACTACACACATGGTAAAATCACATTACTCAGAGACATTAAGGAAAAATGTGATTATAGCTGAGTTTTACCATCTCAACTTTCCAGAATCAGAGGTGTGAAAACATCTACATTGTCTGAGCTCATACAGGATACACATTGAGCACAGGGTGTTGCATCTGAAGTAGTTTGTTAGCATTGATGCTACTCTAAATATTTTATTACAAGTGTCACCTTCAGCAGCAGATGATATGGCTTAGCATAGGTAATATTTCCTGAAGACATAAGGAAAATGCAAAGGCCCCTTACCAGTACTTTGCATGCTCATCCTATCTTTCAGGAGCACATCTCCAAGAATTTGGCGATAAAATATCAACAAATGAATGCAGCACATGTTTCCAATTAATGTTTCTGGCAGCAGGCTATTAAAAGAGAAAAAAATGTATTAATTGAACAACAATCCAAGTGTTTTAAAATGCATATTGTTACTTTAATGAATAGTTCCAAGTTTGATTTTATTATTGGAAAAAATTTTAACAATTTTAAGGAAAATTTCCATTATAAACTGGCCACTTTAAGCTTCAGATAACATTTTTATGTGTACACTTTTGAGTCTCAACTCTGTGTTGCCACTCCTGTAATTCCATTTTAACATCTACACCCATGTTAAATGTCAAATAAAAAAGAATAGTCATCAGTTACATGTTTTGGAAAGAAAGGGACTAGTCAGCTACAAGTTTTAACAAAGCCATTTAGTCACCCCACCTGATGTGACGGGAATGCAAAGGAAGTGTGAGTTCAGACTATTATGGTGCTGGTGGAACATTGGAGGGTGTGGCAGAGCTGCACTAAATTCTTTTTTTAAAAATTTTTATATTTTTTACATGGTTGTTCATTTTCCTTTCAGGTGCAATCCCCACAAAATTCCCACCACCAAGACACCTGTGAATGTCACCATAGACTCTTGTGCTCTTCCCTCCTCTCTACTGATCCCTTCCCTCCCAGTCCCCAGCTAAATGTCCCTGATTTGCAGTTTGCCTGCTAGTTTTGTCTTCTCCCCCGCCCTGCCCCCATCCCTTGTTTGGTTTCCCAATGTTCCTTTTATAAGTGAAACCATCCACTATGTATCTCTTTCCTTCTGAGTTATTTCACTGAGCATAATTCCTTCCAGCTCCATCCCTGTTGCTGCAAATGGAATGAGTTTATCTTTTTTGATTGCTGAATAGAATTCCATTGTGTATATATACCACAGTTTTTTTTTTTTTTTTGATCCAATCATTTGCTTTGGGGCATTTAGTTTCCTTATATATCTTAGCCATTGTAAAAAGAGCTATACTAAATTCTGATTTTGTTACTTTTTAGCTGTTGGACTTTGGGTTAATTAGTTATTCTTCTGTGTCTTGATTTCCTTATTTCTGGAATGCAGATAGTAATTTCTGAAAGCCATTAAGAGTACCAATACCATGTAAGTGCAGAGTGTGCAAGGCTTGACACAAAATAAGCCTCAAAAAACAGAAAAAATTTTAATATTGAAATCAAATGGACAGCAGTTTAAAATAGATGATTATAATTTCAGGATGCTATATGTAATCCTCATGGAAAGCACAAAAAGAAAAACTCTATAGAATATACACAAAAGGAAATGTAAAGGGAATAAAAATTTGTTGCTACCAAAAAAAATCAATTAAATACAGAGAAAAATAGTAAGAGAGGAAGTGAGGGACAAAAAAAATCTATGACATACAAAAAGAAAATAAATAACAAAACAGCAATAGTAAACCCTGCCCTGTCAGTAATTAACTAAACAAACTAAACCCAAAACTAACAGAAGGAAATAAGAAAAAAAAAAAAAAGAGCAGAGATGAATGAAATAGAAACAATTCAGAAAATCAAAAGAAACCAAGACTTTGTTCTTTGAAAAGATCACCAAATTGACAAATCTTTAGCAAGAAAAAAAGAAGACTCCAATTACTAAAATCAAAACTGAAAATGAAGACAATATGATCCTACATAAACAAAAAATATTATATAGATTATTATAAACAACTGTAAGTAAAAAGTTGGGTAATCTAGATGAAATGAACAAATTTGGCTAAATTACAGAGACGTAGAAAGTCCAAATAAACCTGTAACTAGTAGGGAGATTGAATTAGCAGTCGAAAATCTACCAACAAAGAAAATCTGTAGGCTGATGGCTTCACTAATGAAATCTACCAAACACTTGAATAAAAACTAGTACCAAGCTTTCACAAATGTTACCCAAAAACTGAGACGGGAACCCTTCCTAACTCATCCTATGAGGCATTACCCAGTACCAAAGCCAGACATAGACACCACATGAAAATTACAGACCAATATCCCTGATGAACACTGATGCAAAAATCTTCAACAAAGTACCAGCAAAGAGAATTCAACAGCACATTAAAAGGTTTATATATTGCAACCAAGTAGAATTCATTCCTGGAATGCAGCAGAACAAAATCAATCAATGCAATACACTGCATCAACAGAGTGAAGGAAAAGACCCACATGAACTTCTAGCTGATCCCCAAAAAGCCTCTAACAAAAGTCAACACCTTTTCACAATAAAAACACTTAGAAGCTAGGAATAGGAAGGAAACTATCTTATTTGATGGTGAAAGACTGAAAAATTTTCCTCTAAGATCAGGGACAAGACAGTGATGCCTGATTTTACCATTTTTATTCAACGTATTATTAAAAGTCCTAGCCAGAGATCAACTAGGCAAGAAAGGAAAATAAATGGCATCCAACTTTGAAAGGAAGAAGTAAAATTCTCTCTGCTCACAAATGACATGATCATATACCTGGAAAGGCCTACAGATTACACATACACAGAAAACTGTTAGAAATAATAAATTAAGCAACATTACATAAGATTAGCATATAAAAATAAATCATGTTTCTATACACTAACAATAAATATGAAAAAGAAATTAAAATAATTTTATTTATAATGTCAAAAAGAAGAAAATATTTACAGATAACAAAATAGAAACAAAATTTCAACAAAGATTTCAAAATAATAATCTGGAAATATGACAAATGAATGCTCTATAAAATGCTGACATAATACACTAAATTAAATTATTAAATTAAATTATTACTCTATTAAATACTGACATAATACCTGCTGAGAATATGTTGAGCACAAGATTTAACTTTAGAAGGAGAAAATGTCTTGAATTATTCTAGAGATACATTTCCTAACTGCCGTTTTGAGAAACACACAAACTCTGTCACTAAGCATGAAGAAGGACCATAGAGGAAATTTTGAAAATCTTGTGAACAGTGTACTCTATTAAAGAGCAAGAAGTCTTCGGGCTAGGATAAACCATCAAAAGTTATGAAATTTTAGGCCTTCCCTGGTGGTGCAGCGGTTGAGCGTTGGGCTGCGAAGCTGCTCGCAGCCTCTGCAGCGCTGGTTAGATCCCCAGCCATCGACATGGCGCGACAGACCTCTCCTGCAGCGCCTGCTGCTCCCCTCAGCAGTGTATTTCTTCGTCAGTCTGTCTGTTCTGTTCCCCGCTCTGGCTCTGGTGAATTCTCTCACCCTCCCGTGCTTCTGACTATACCCAGTGCTTGTATAAATAAATAAATCTTTAAAAAAAAAAAAAGGTTATGAAATTTTAACTTTTGTAATTCTTTCTTTATTCTTTAATTTCTAGGAGGAAATTTTAAGAAGAAAAAATTAATCACAGAGGGCAGGCTTCCAGTCTGTTGAAAAAGAACAGAATGAATGTTACCCCCTATAATGGTGTAGAAGCAATGGAGCCCTACAGGTTATTAGTTTAATAGAATTTAGATAAACATCCTTGACCACTCCCTAACCCTACATTACTAGAAACATCCAAAAATGTAAGACAGCTTCTCTTACCACACTTACATTCAGATAGAGCAATTGTATGCAAAGTCAGAAATGATCTTTTACCAACCTCGCTAAAATTCTGCTCTGGCATATGTCTGCTTTGGATTTCAAAGACTGGCCACAAGGGACCATTTAAGCTGCCCTGATGCCACCCTTGATGCCTTCTCAGGTTTCATGTTGTGATTTCCAAAGGTTATTCTACATCCTGTCCTCTGGTCTATGCTCCATGTGGGCAGTGTTTAAGTTGCATGCCCAAATTTGTATTTTGTGCTGAAGAACAGTCATGCATTTTGCCAGAGGAAGGGTTGGAACTTTCCTTCCTTCCATTTTTCCCATTTCTCTCACAGAACCGCCCACTCTGTCTGCCTGGCAGGCATTACTTCCAGTCTGCATTAGAGCCCTTGGGTCCTCCCACAGTGTGGGCCCTCCTTTCCTTCCTAGCACCGTCCACAACAGAAGGCGAAGCACTTGCTCTTTATTAGAGTTTTCTGTGGGAAGTATTTTGATTTTCACAAACCCAAGATGACAAAAAACAAAAACTCTGAGTTGCTAAAGATTGGCTGAATCAAAGACGTAGAAATATACTTTCTGACCTTACAGAGAGATCAGCAAACTCTGGTGGCAGAAGTGTAACAAATGTAGTAATGAGCTTAGGCAAGAAACTCTATCACCTCATTTATTTTTAGTAATGGTACAATGGGAGCAAAAGAGTAAAAATAAGAATGCATCAAAGTGGGATGGCAACTTCAAAACAGCACTCCAGGCTCTGTGGGTTCCAGAAGAGAAGAGAACTCGCCAAGACAGGAGAGGAGTGCCCAGGGACAGCAGGAGGTAGAACAGAATTCCTGATAAGTACACTTTTACACAACCAGGAAGCTCTCTACTTTCAAATTATTTAATGAACATTTTTTGGGGTGCCTACTGTGGTGTAAAATCAAATAGGCACCTCAGTTCCCAAGGTATGGGACTTAAGACCCTTCCATAAAGCACCGGCATAGAAGAACCACTCCTGGCTTTGGAAGACTGGGTCTGCCTGTCCACCCTGCACCAGCTCATTAGATTTGGTCTACAGATTGTAAATAGTACCTGCAAACTAGTATTTGGAGCCAAAGAAGCACTATTAAGAGCTGCACTTGAAAGACAGGCTTGGAAGACCTTCAAGACCTTCACGACTTCTGGGAGGCTTATCTATGAGATGAACAGTAGGAGGCTGAAGAAGTAGGAAGAATGAAGCCTGACAGGATTTTGGCTTTTCTTTCACAAAGACTGCTACTGTACTTCTTTTTTTTCAATCTTGAAAAAGAACAATTTCCCCAGCAAAGATTGGCCAAAGGGGGGAATTTACAGGCTCTATGAACATCCAGGGCAGGGGAGGGAGGGTGGGGAGGGAGGACAAAAGCCAAGAGAATGAATAATACCCATGACACATTATTAATGGTTATTGAAAGATTTAAGTGTAATGCTATAATTATAAAACACATTTTAGTATTAGAGATAAGAGCAAGGGATATCTAAACTAAGGAATTATTTAGAATGAGGAAAGCAACCATCCAGAGGAGTATGCCAAGTTCTCATTTATTTCCCTACTTCTTGATAATCTGTGAGCAATGAGCAGGTGATGGTGGGGCCATCCAATTGCATTGGTCTCTGTTCCCAAGCCATGCTCTTCCCTTCCATCCTTCTTGTCTGCTCTGTCCCTCTGTGGGAAGTTCCTTTCCTCCATATCTTCACATCTCCCCAATCCTTCAAAGCCTATTTCAATGTCCCTGGTCTTACTAGTTATAGGCATATCTTTTATGACATAGAGCACCATCCACCTGGCATTGTATTTGCATTTATCGACATATATAGTAATAACAACAGTAAATAATCATAGTAAACACTTACTGAGACTCTGAGAGAGATGATACATCTGTAATTCTACAAGTGTAAAACCTCCCTGAAAAAATTACAAATTACTACTAGATGCCATTACTTATCATGGTGCCATGATACCACGAAATACTTATATTATAATTCCAAGTGTTGTTAAGAAACTGGAGAAATTGTAACTCATACTTTTTAGTGAAAGCAAAATGGTATAATCATTTTGGAAAACAGTCTGGCAATTTCCTATAACTGCCAGAAATCCCATACCCAGGTATTTAAAACCTGGGGAAATAAGACACACACACACAAAAAAAACTCATATGTGACTACTTAGAACAGTTTTATTCATAATTGCCCAAACTTAGAAGAAAAACCTCCATTAACTAGTGAATAGATAAACACATTATGGTATATCCATCAAGTGGAATATTATCTAGGACAAAAAAGAACAAACTACTAACATGTGCAATGGCAAGGATGAAATGAAAATGCATTATATTAAGAGAAAGAAGTCAGACTCAGAGGGTTTGATTCCAATTTATGGCATTCTGGAAAAGGCAAAACTTTGGGAAAGAAAAGCGTAAATTTTATTGTATGTAAATTATATTTCAACAAACTTGATATTTATAAAAGCCCTTAAGATAGGATCATGGGTCAGTAAGCTCCATTTAAGCAGGAGTTTCATACTGTTTCTGACCAAATCTATCATTTGAGTTAACAATTGCTACTAGACAGAAGAATAAGCAAAACTGAAGTTATTACTTATTACTATTCAATTTCCCTACTGCTATTTGGCAGACAAATTAAAGAAAAAATAACTGACAAAAGAGGACCAAGTAGGAGAACATGAAAGCAGGAATGGTCTATAAATGGCGAATGTCCCCAAGGTCACTGGACAGGCAAAAGTGGGTACCAACCTTAATAAGTTTCTTGATCTTCTGTTCGAAGATCTCAGTTTTATCAGAAGTTGAGGTTGCCTTCTCATTGTCATCATCTGATGGAAAACACTCCCTTGGGCTTAAAGAAATGTGGAAATTAAGTGCTTGGGATATTAAGTATTATTAAGCAAAGCATTTTTCAGCACCACATGGTGCTGAATTATATGAAAGGCAGAGGTGACTCACATACCTACAAGAGCTGATAGAGCTAAAGGGCAATGTCCATTGCCTACGACCTCGCTAAAGGTAGCCAACAGGACTCTAGTTGCCACCCTATCAGATGCTTTGACAAGATTAAAGAACAAAATGGAGTTTAAAAAGCATATCTGGGGCCTACCTGGTGGTGCAAGGGGTTAGGACGCAACCTATGAAGCTCTCTGCAGCCATTGCAGCATGAGTTCAATCCCTGGCCAGGGAGCAACCCACATGGTGCAGCAGACCTCTCCTGACTGGCCCGCTGCTCCCCTCAGCAGTGTACTTCCATCAATCTGCCTGTTCTGTTTCCCACTGTCTCTGGTGAATCTTCTCACCCTCCACACCTCTGGCCTGTACCCCAGTTCTTATATACATAAATAAATAAATCTTAAAAGAAAATAAAATAAAAAGCACATCTGACTCCAGGTTCCCAGACCCCATTCTAAGAAGCAGGGTTCGTATTGCTGGGACAACAGCAATGCTGTGTGTCCTAAATCATGTAACAAGGAGCATGTCTGAAGAGCAACAGGGAGTTTCCAGTCTGTTGGGTTCTGAGCCCCATGAGGCAAGGAATATATATACCTTACTCTCCAATTTCCCATTATCTAGCACAGGCCTAGCAGTGCACATATTAAAAGATGTGCATATTTTTAGAGGGCAATTTGGCATGTGTACCCCGATTTCAAATATCTATACTTTGCCCTAGCAAATTAGCCTGTCCTATCAATTCTCTGGTGGTCACAAGTGTCAGCCTAGTGCTCAATGAAAAGAAATCAATACAGGCTCCTCATGCTTCCTGCTTTCCTATATTAGAGTCTCATATGCTACCAAGAAAATAAACAGATTAAAATAATTAAGATTTAAGTATCAAATGAAATGTTTTTTAAGATGTGAATTCAATTGAAGAATGTTATGCTTATTTGAATGAAACTATTTTTTCTGATGAATCTTTGTTTAGTTTTTTAAAAAAGGAAGGAAAGGAACACATAAGTGTTATACCTCTTCTGGATACTGATGGGTCTACTTCAACCCCCTTTTCATAAGGGGTGCCGCCATTCAAAAATAGCTCATAAGTTCTACAAAAGAATAACATATCATGATGATACATGTTATGGATACTTTGAAATACTGGAGCAAGGAGTGATACATGCTTTAGCACAGATATATTCACATACATTTTATGTCTCATTGGTAAATGAGAATGAAAGTTGTTCCTCCCAGAGATATCATTTCAGTAAATAAGCAGTCACTTTCTTTCTTAACTCAGAACTATAGAAAATACATTTTTCCACATTAAAATGGGAAAGATTGATATTATTTAAATGCTTTGACTTCAATAACTTGTGTTAATGGCTGTATTAATGACAGGTTAATGATGTGTTACCTTTTTAAAGGTACTTTAAATATTTTGAATCATCATTTGAAATAAAGCTATTATGAATTTATATATTTTTAAAATATAAAAATAATGTCATTGTTATAAAACATCTGAAAAACACAGAAATGATGAGTCAAAATAAAATTTTCCTCATCCCTTCCCCTCAGTTTAGTAAGCCACTTGCCCTATCTTTTTCTATGTAAATGCAAATATATATCTATATATGTCCATACTAGTAAATCCAAAAGTCAACACGTGCTTTCCTTTAAAGTTACATACTATGCTAATATAGAAAGCAGAAGTAAAAGGCCCCTCTATACCACCTCCCCAATTCTGTTCCTCAGAGGCAAAACAGTTTACATAGACACCCCCCCAACATATATATACAAATACAGTTTCTCACAAACAAAAGCAGAAATAATATACTATTTTCAAGTCTCCTTTTACATATAATAATAGACAGTGGAAACGTTTCTGTAGCAATATATAGGTCCTCACCTCATTTTAAAAAATATCTATGCCTTGACTTTTGAAAAGATGGAGTAGACACACTTTTCCCTCCCACTAAATAAAACTGAAATCCTGAATATTATTAAAAACAAAGCAAAAAAAAAATCACAAGAAGCCCAGGTTTCTACACCCACCCAGGGAATGAACTGTTCCTCCGCCTTCCCCTGGGTGTCATCAGCAGACTAGCAGAGTCAGAACTTTCACCTCTGCCCTGAGGGAAGGAGGCCGGGCTCCCCCTTGTGGTCTCAGCAGAGGTCACAGCAGAGGTCTCAATTAATCCTCACAATAAATCTCTGGGGTGGAAATTACAATACCCCAATCTAAAAATGAGGGAAATTGAGGCTTGGAGACATTAAGGAATCTGATTACATAGACAAAGCTGGGAATAGAGCCCTGAATTTTATAATTCCAAACCTGGGATCTTAATCAGCATCCTAGCGACTACCCATTTATAGCTCTTCTGTGAATCTCTTATTTATATCTTAGACTTTGATTCTTTTTTGTATACATTAAAAACTTTGGATAATCTTTTTTCTTATTCATTTTTGAGAGCTATTTTTATATTAGAGATGGTAATCTTCACTGCATGTATATATTGCAAATATTTTCTGCCAGTCAGTTTTTTGGCCTTAAATTTTAAACTTGTTTACAGTGACTGCCACTACAGTTTCAATCACCTGCAAAAGAAAGGTAGTGTCACAGAGGACCTGGGAACCCTAGAGTTAGCTTTCCCACTTGTTAGAGGGAATTAGGAGAATTGGGGTTTGTTTCAGCATTGTGAAATGTGCTAATACCATAAAAAATTACTGAAAGAATATTCTCAGCAGATAATCAGTGCAAACATGTTTTAAAATACTTATTGTGTACATGCAATTTCTTCCTCATCTACCTCCCAGGATGAGACTGCTTGCTACTTTCCTATACTACCTCACAGGATATTAGAAGCTCTCTTTCCTCACAAGTATTGAAATGCTAATAGAACATATAGTCTACAAACCCGAGGTATCCAGAATCTTAAAAATGAGTTTTTAGGGGCTCCCTGGTGGCACAAGGGGTTAAGATGCAACCTATGAAGCTATTGCCAGCCACTGCAGCACAAGTTCGATCCCTGGCCAGGGAGCTACCCACATGGCGCAGCAGACCTCTCCTGACTCGCACACTGTCCCCCCCTCAGCAGTGTATTTCAGTACATCTTCTGCTCCCCACTCTGGTGAATCCTCTCAGCCTCCCCCACACCTCTGACCTTTACCCTAATTCTTGTATACATAAATAAATAAATCTTTATAAAAAATGAATTTTGAATTTTTACACAATTATTCATTAGGAAGGAACAGAAAGCTAACTTACTTTGCTGGAATAGGAATTCCACTGTCATCAAAAAGTTTAAGAAACACCCAGCCACAACTTAATTCTCCTCTTTCACCAGTTGACTAGGAAATAAAAAGAAATACAAAACTTAATGTTTCAGCCAGTTAAACTTACAAGCACATACCAAGTAAGGAACAAAATTATTATTCAACTTTAAAACTAAAAAATTCATCATCATCATCATTCTTTACAATCATTCTTTTTATTTGCAAAACAAAATAAGTGAAACACAGTAGAATCCCATTTTAATTGCAGGTCAAATAGTAAGGGTTTTTAAAATAAAATTCTACCTTTTGAAATTGCTCTTGTATATTGCCTAAATCTGATGATATAATTGTAGCTATTGTTTCTTAAGTGATACAAATATTTTGTGGAATGATCTCAAACCACATCAATATTATATGAGATTATGAAGCTCTGTATCTTTGAGAGACAATGCACAAATTAAATAATTCAAGGGTCTTTCTGCTCAGAACTTGATCCCTATTGTCAACTGCCAAAGGGCTTACTTGGGGGGTCTGTTCGCCCTCTTGTCCTACATACTCACAATACATATGTATGAATTTGCCTTAAGGAAATGAAGGGGTGGTATAATATCATTGATGTAGTAATAATTGTCTCTCTAAGACTACTTATATATGCTACACCTACCAAGCTATTATTAGGTTGTGGAAACCTAATTACTATTAAATCTAATTTAATTACTACATAGACACACACCCACTGGTTCAGTAGTTTATATGATATAAATTAATCCAACTTTCTGGTATAAACCACTGTGCAAAAATACCACTGAGCATTTTCTATCACTTTCTGTAGTCCTATCCTTTTCGATATTTATTCTTTAAAAGCACTAGAGTTCATTTAAGTTATAAATGTAAACAAATATGCTTCTGTTTTCAATGGTAGTAAAAAATATCACATATAAAATTAGAATCACTGTCATTCTCATTCCTGAAGAAGTTAAAACTCTATTACACATAAAAAAAAAAAAAAAGATTAAAGCAATGAAAACAAAAAAAAAAAAACTCTATTACACATAAAAACTTAAATTATTTTACTTGTAAATATATAATCTTTAAAAAAACTTCCCTTTTAACTCATACAGTAGAAAATTTTATATTTCGATGGACATACATTGCGAATATAAGAGATTCCAAGTTCAAATAATAGTCCAAGATCTGGAGATGAAGAATTGGACCTGACAAAACAATCACCATCAAGCAAGCAGGGCAAGATCCCAGTAACCTGAAATAATGAAGAATTAAAAGTTACTAATAAAACTTAGAAATGGGAGGGAGGTTTCAGTTCTATCCATCCATAAATAGTTGATGCTTTTGCATCATAATACATGTCTTCTAAAGGGAACAAAAAGCAGATGAATTGGACTCATCTATACCAATGACTTGATGTTTAAAATTTTAACTTTTGTGTTAAAGGGAAGTATCTTTACCTTCACTTACCTTTGCTTAGAGGCTAATATGAAACAAGTACTGTACCTAGGTTCCCAGAGGTGTTAGAAATAGTTTGCATATATAAAACAAATTTTTGTTACCCAAAGTTGTTTGGAAACAGAATGAAAATTAAAGACTTCATACACATATTTTCTCAACTGTCCTGATGCACAGCTTGTAGATTTTCCTTTCCTTTCCCTTTTGCTTAATTCCATTCCATCTCCCCCAGAACTACACCTCTCTCTTTGCCTATACAATCCCACCCATTCCTTATGTCTGATTTTCCTTCTACAGAAACTTCCCAAAACCTAAGGAGCAAAGTTAATTTCACCCTCCTCTGCTCCAAAAGCACTTGTCACTGTCCCTGTGACACTTAGCAGTACCCATCCCATGGGGATATTCTCAGGATTAAATGAGATAATGTACCCATGAGCTTATCACAGTACTTGGCACAGGGTTAGAGCAGCACAAATAGATTTCTTCTATTTGTGGATCGGTATAGATGAGTCCAATCCATCTGTTTTTTGTTTCCTTTAAAAGACATGTATTATGATGCCAAAGCATCAACTATTTATGGATGAATAGAGCTGAAACCTCCCTCCCACTGACTCAGTGGTTGGAAACCAGCTGACCTCATTCTAGTCTTTTTTGTTCCCTTCTTGACAGTACCTGGGTATAATGTGCCAGACCCCAAGGCGCCACCCTTGGTTTTATCTCAAGAAGCACAGTTCTCTCTGGCACAGTAGGAGATTTCATTTTGAAAAACACTTCCTAATTTTTATCTTTTTGTTTTTATTTTTTAATCAAAGGTCATTTTCTGGAATTGAACCCTGAAATCCATTAAATGAGATCATTCATATGAATTATAATTTTGATGAGGCAGAAACATAAGTAATTTTTATTGAATCCTCAGAGAATATTAACGAATCTAAAGCTCATGTCTGGCTCTATATATTCTGTGCTAAACATAAATATGTTATTTCAGGAACACACTTTGATAGCCTCATCTTAGAAACCAATTGCATAATACTTAATAGGTAAAAGAAATTCATTTTTCATTCTGCTTACTCACAGATTACTTACCTGGGGAGAAAAGGTCCATGTTTTGGGCTTTTTAGGTTGCCATGTAGCTCTGACTGTATGAATGTTGCTCAGAACCTGAAACGAGATTTTCCCATCTGAATTTGTGTTGTAGAGAGCTCTGAACTGTCACACTTCCACATCCCAGAGTCAGCAGTGTCTACAGCTGACACTATAGTGTAGTGTACAGCTGTCATACATGATATACTATTCTTTTTACATATTGCTAGATTCAATTTGCTAATGTATTATTTAGGAGTTTCTTTTATTATTCCTAAAGGATACCAGTCTTTAATTTTTCTTGTTTATAATGTCTTACCATATTTTTGTAATAGATTTTCCCTGGCCTTATAAAATGAGTTGGGAAACATGTCTACTTTATCTATTCCATGTAAGAGTTTGTATACCATTGGTATTTTCTTCCTTAAGTGTTTGAAGGAGTTCACCAGTAAGCCCATCTGGGTCTAGTTTTCTTTGTTGGAAGATTTTTAACTAGTTTCAATTTTCTAACAGAGGTTAATAAAATTTTCTGTTTTTCTCTTGTGTCAGTTTCAGTAAATAATGATTTTCAAGGAATTTATCTACTTTATCAAATTTATCAAAGATAAAAGTTGTTTACAATATCCCTCACTGACCTTTTAACGTCTGTGGGATCTGCGGTGAGGGCTCCATTTGCATGTCAGGTCTGGATCATTTCTTTTCTTTCTCTCTCTTTTTAAAATTTCTTGATTTTTTTTCAAACAATAAACGTTTGCCCTTTTTTGATTTTCTCTTTGTTCATTTTTTTCTATTACATTAATTTCTACTCTTATCTATTACTTTCTCTAAGGGTTTCTGGTTTAACTCTTCCCTGATTCCAAGCTTCTTGCATTAGTAGATTACAGATTTTAAACCTTTCTTCTGTTCTAGTATACACAATTATAATGATACAATTTTTAAGCTGCAAATTTCCATCTAAGCATTGTTTACTACTAAAAAATCCATTTTTTTAAAGAGTCATTAAAATCCTTTGTTTGAATCTAAGAAAATATATTCTCTTAGGGATCAGGAAGGAATTAAATGGAAAAAGGCACAAGAAAACTCTGTAAGGTGATGGAAAGGGTCCATATCTTGATTGGGGTAATGGTTATATAGCTGTACTTAAGACCTGAACTGCATGTGACACTAGAAGATAGGCATTAGTACCTTTTCGTAGGCAACAGAGGCCCAGAAGAGTTAATTGTGATGTACCAGCATCACACACTTAGCGACTAAGTAGAAGAGTTAGGAGTTAAGCCTATGTAATCAGAAGCTATGTGGTTTGCACTCCACAATGTATTATTTTACAAATACATTCATACACATACACACATACACCAGAGATACATATACAGTGATACAGACAAAGATATATGAATATATAATGAGAGAGAGGTTGAGAGAAAGAAACAGAGATGACATACAGTACATGTTTAATACAGGATATTAACAAAATATTTTTCCACCCTGATGTAAACTGATAAACTCCTCAGTAAGCTCACCTTATTACCATCAAACAGACAGAGGCGGACATGTCTACTGAGAACCTGAAGACTCATTCCTGGAAAAGGGATCATTTTACAGCTCCACAGGGTCAGAATCAATGAAACACGACTTGGTCTTGACCTAATCTGAGAGCAAAATTAGTTATAAAAAAGTTTGCTTTTATGGCTTCTAAGACAAATCCATTTTTAAAGAGTATTTCATAAATATTTAAGAAAATGTACATAGAATAAAAAATAAAAAAGTTTTATACATAAACATACACATAGAAGAAAAGTTTCAAAAGTCTGATTTAAATAAAAATTTTAGGTACATTTTTCATGAATATTCATACCGTAAATATTTTCAATTTTGGGTAAATAAAAAGTGATGATGAAAGGACTGGTAAAATGTATGTCCTGAACATTGAATCACTGTATTCCAAGTGCATTCTTATAGCTCATTTCTAGAGAATGTGGGTAAGGGTAGGAGGTCACCAGAGGATAGTAATTTATCCAGCTAGTTCCTCCTTGTTTTAATTCCCAAGCATTTATGGACCTTGTTCCTTGACTTCCCATAGAGAGGTTTTGACAGAATGAGCTGACAATTTAATATGATTATTGAACTCTACATCTCAGGTCTAATTCAGAATGTGAATAAATACTCTCAACCATGACAATATCTGGAAAAGTTACGATTTTCTTGATAGTATCTATACTTACTGTGCCTGTTTTAGCATCCCACATTAGGTCTCTGAAGGCCAGTTGTGAAGGTGTGAGCTCTGGTTGTACAAAGTAACTTGCTCGAAACTGATTCCCTGCAGAAATAGTTTTTCCTTCATTTTCTTACAAAGAAAGGAATGAAATTCAAAACCAAAATTCATGATGTTATGCTATAAACTGAGGGAGCACACACTTCCAAAATGCCAAGCTTCTTACTAGCAATTTGCTTTCCAATATGGATATACTAATGTAGACTTATACATTAAAAAAAAAAAAAGTAGGACATCTAAGATACAAACACAAAAGTTGATCTTAAAGGAGCTTTAAGAAACATCTTAGGGGCCTCCCTGGTGGCACACAGGGTTAAGACGCAACCTATGAAGTGGTCCTCAGCCTCTACAGCACGAGTTTGATCCCCCCCCCCCCCCCCCGGCCAGCCAGGGAGCTACCCACATGGTGTGGCAGACCTCTCCTGTCTAGCCCGCTGCTCCCCTCGGCAGTGTACTTCCATCGATCTGCCTGTTCTGTTCCCCATTCTGTCTCTGGTCAATCCTCTCACCTCCCACACTTCTGGCCTCTACCCTAGCTCTTGTATGCATAAATAAATCTTTAAAAAAAAAAAAGAAACATCTTAAAGATTTTCAGGCCAATAAATTTGTCCCATGAGGAAGACAATCCATTCATATATTTTTATAAAATGCAGAACATCGGTAAATAATTTTTGGAGATTTCAGAAAAAATATATAGCCATTAATTTCACTTCCTAACACATTCTTAAATGGTTCTTTCATATTTTAGTCATGACGAATTCTTCTATAAAGTCATTTATCAGTGCATGAAATTGTTTTGGAGTTCCTACTCTGTGCCAAGAACTACTGAGTTGGAAATACATATGTGAGAGATATGGCCCCTGCCTTTGTTAGTTTACAGTTTAGTGAGAGAAACTTTTTTTTAAAATATAAGAGAATAAATAAAGTAAATATTAACTGACTTAGACCCATAAACAGTGTTAAAGTGATTGGGAATAGGGGAACCTACATTCCTCAAAGAAGGTATCTCTGGGAAGGACAAAAAAATGTGAATGAGATAGGCTTTCAGGGAGGGCTGGGAAGAATCTTCCTATTAGAACAGCCTCAAAGCAGCTCTTCCATAGATAACTCAACAACTCAGGGTATACAGGTGAGCCTCATTCCAATGTCATTACTCTTTAAAATGAGCTATGGTTAGAATTTGCCAAGGATAATGAAATCCAAGAATGAACACAAAGAAATGCCAACTGGATATAACCTGTTAGAAAAGTATTGTTGTGAAGAAAAGCAGTCAGGAAGGCTTCAGCTGCAATGGGATAGGGTGGGAAGGGTTGGAGGAGCTGGTTCTTGAAGGTGAGAGGTGCTGGTCATGCTAGTACTATTGATGAAGGAATGAATCAGAAGAGAAGCAGGCTGAAGACACAAAACAGGTGTGATAATTAAGAGCCATAATTTTGAAATAAAGGAAAGGAGCTAAAGCCAGAGAACAGGTAAACAGACTGGCCTGTGATAGGATAAGGGTGCTTTCCTCCACTGTCACAGGAAAGACAAAGGGACGTAGCTTGTTTGGCTAGGACAGAAAAATTATACTTAAACCTTTACTGTTCAACTAAAAGTTTGTGGTGGTTGATTGACATCTTTTACCTTCCTCTAGAAGCTGGAAGAGTGTGGAAGGCCTGAACCCTGCAGGAATAGCTCCCATCGTAGTTAACACATCAATAGTGTTTATCTGCTGATGACAGTAAAAATAAAATCAATAAGCTTGTTTCCATTCCTGTTTAGTGGAAGAGTTTAGTGGAAGAATATGGCAACTTAACCCCAAATTCCTGAAAGGATGCCATTGCTGAGTTGTGGCTTCTCCCACAGACCTGAGCTGGTCCCAATAGGCAGAGCTCTATGCCCCAGACCAGCTGCTTCCTGCACATCCCTCATCAAAATGTCCCTACTCTTGTCCTACTCTGCAACGTTCTACCAAGTAACAGATGAGTTAATATTATAAACTGATATGCACTGAAGAATTAACGGCCTTTTTTGTATATGTGTACACATACACACACACACACACACACACGAATGCTATATAAATGATAAATAGGTTAAAAGGCCAGGAGGGATACTTACTAAACTTTTAATGGGGATTACTTTGGGGAGTAAGGGGGTGCATTTTCATTTTTGTTGTATAATTTCTTGACCGATAAGATTATGTTTCTCACTTTTTTGAGCTTTTCAGTATTTTTCAAATAGTAACTAAAATTTAAATCAGGTTATATCCAAATGATAGCAAGTTCAGGCAAAATCAGCGACAGGTATTTCCAAGGCCTCAATATACTCCTTTTACAGAAGAGACCTAACGGGAGATGTTAGTACATAGACCTACAGAACCAGAAATAATGTCTTATGCTCTGTATATTCCATGCCCTTTGCCCTGTTTAAGATCCAGTACTATTTTCTAAAGTCTCCATCCTGCTTTTAATCTGAGCTCTATTAGAACTATGAGATAACACTGGAGACTGTATTAACAAGACAAGAGATACCAACCTCTGAGATAGCTTTTCGAACAGCACTCCAATGAGAATCAGTTCTGAGAAGACAAATTAGCAAGGTGAGTACATGGCCAGGTTATGCCTTTTCACTCAACTAAAGGAACTTCAGTAATCGAAAAACAAAGTATATAATTGTAAGTTCTGCAAACATAGTGGTTTCTAGAGGAAACCAAGATAGAATAATATCATGCATCAAAAATAATCATAAAATTAAAACAGTGATGATAGTAAATAGTAATATGAAAAGCAGTGTCCTCAAAAACTACAAGTTGTTTCCATTTCAAGAAATTCTTGAAGTGTTAATAATAGTAAAATTAAAAATAAGTAAACAAAAAGTTTCCTAAGCCTAATTTGATATCCCCTATACCTTTTTACCTTTGTTTAACTTCTTCTGCTCCTTCTGCAGTTTCACCCCCAATTTCTGCATCTTCTTCACTGCCTTTCTCACTTGATTCTTGGTCATCTTTATCATAGGGCTGAAAAATTATTAAAATATAAAGTGTCTTTACCCAGTGCAAAAATCAACCAAGTCTGTGGAAGTGGCTAGGTGCAGCCAAGATCTTAGCATCTGGTCAAGGAGATAAGTAGATGCTTTTTGTATACCTTCCAGAAAACTTTTTTTAAGATAGCAGTTCATGCCTTTTGACCTCTTGTTCCCCATCCCTCTTTTGTGACTTAAAACCATTAACATATCTAGCAACTAACTTAAACTAAAGAGATAACCCTAGGAATAGCTGCCTCACACCTAAGTACAGAATTAAATATTAGCTGGGGCCTGAACTCCTTTGATTGCTTACCTCTACACATCTCTCACGCATGAGAGAAATAAACTTATACCTTATTTAAGCCACTGTTTGGGAGATCTTTTGTAACTCAGTGAATCTTTTATAACATAATGGAATGTTCTTTGCAACATTATTTACAGTTATTATAGGTTGGAAACAACCTAAATGTCCATCTATATGAGATTGGAAAAGATGACCTAGAGCTACCTATGCAATATTGCAGTAGCCACATGTGGCTACTGACACTTGACTAGTCCAAATTGAGATGTGCTGTAAAGTGTGAAATACGCACTACAATTTGAAGACTTAGTATGAAAAAAGAAAAATTTTTAAAATGCTGATTATATGTTGAAATAATAATATTTCTGATATATTGAATAATATAAAATACATTATTAAAAATAATGTCACCTGTCTCTTTACTTTTTTGCAGTGGGTGTGGTATAATGAATATATACTTGATCTTTATTCTTATTTCTGGTACAGAGTTCCTAAAACTCCCGGAATTTCTTATTGATAGGAGTGTTTTTGCTATTCGTAATGAGTATTTTTAGACACACCTGAGTTTGTACACTTGAGGTGACTGGCCAGGTAGTGATGGTGGGTACCTTCAGGATGGGGGCTGGTTGCCAGAGGAACCCACACTGTGATTAAACGGCTGGAATTTCCAGTAGTCCCCCACCCCCTCCCTACCTTCAAAGCTGGAAGAGGAGTTGGAGATAGAATTCAATCACCAATGACTAGTGTGCCCTATGTAATAAAACCTCTATAAAAATCCCTAGGTTCAGGGAGCTTCCAGGTTGATGGTGACTTTGAAGTGCTGGGACAGTGGCTCTGGAGAGGGAAGGAAGAACAGGGTCCACTCCCTCCACCTCCCAATATCTTGCCCTATGCATCCCTTCCATTTGGCTGTTCCTGAGTTGTAACCTTTATAAAACTGGTAAACACAGGAAGGAATAGCCCTGAGTTCCATGAGCCCTCTTAGCAAATTATTGAAACTGTGGGAATCGAGTCTCCCTGATAGCCTAGGGGTTAAGTCTCAGCATTATCACTGCTACAGCCTGAGTTCAATCCCCGGCCAGGGAGCTAACCCACATATGGTGCAGCAGACCTCTCCTGTCTCGCCTGATGCTCCTCTTAGCAATCTATTTCAGTAGATCCACCTGTTCTATTTCCCACTCCATCTCTGGTGAATCCTCTCATCCCCTGCACCTCTGGCCTACACCCCAGCTCTTCTATACAAAGAAAGAAAAAAGAAACAAAAAAACTATGGGAACCTCCAAATTTATAGCTGGTCACTGTGATGCAGGTGGCTCTTAGGACATGTTAGTGGCATATGAGGTGGGGTAGTCTTGTGGAACGGAGTCCTTAACTTGTGGGGTCTGGCTAACTCCTAGCATTAGCATCAGAACTGAACTGGGCTGCAGGACACCACTTTGTATGAGAGAAGTAGTGTAGAAAAACTTGTATTTTGGTGTCAGAGAAAAAAAATCACACACTTAGTGTCAGAAAAAAAAAATCTGAGTACGGTTATGGGAAATTTTAAATTACATTTGTAGTTAGTGTTATATTTTTATTGACTAGTATTATCCAGAAAAATATCTAGTGACAATGCCATATTTTACAAGATAAAAAAATAAGCTACAAACATGCATATATAATATGTTTATATTTTCGTAAGGGATCATATATTTGTGGAAGTTAACACAAAGTTCATGGTGATAATGTTTTACAACAATAGATGACTTGATTTTGATGGTCAGCATTAATCCACAAGCACCTTCATCAGACAATGTAGTAAGACTCACATGCCTAAGGACATTTCCCAATATTGCCCCCAGGCCTTGTGCCTCTAAAATTAAAGCATCTGTATATCTCAAGTCATTCACTAGTCAACTGAACAAAGGACACAGCTTAAAGTTTTATAGAAAATGAAAAAAAAAAAAAGTTTTGAAGGAGAGAAAGGAAGAATAAACAACAAAGACTCACCTCCAAGTAGGTTCTGGGAACAAGACCTTTGTCTCCTTGGGCGTTCTCAGCTATCCACCAACCATCAGGTTTTTTTTCAATTATATAGAGAATCTCCCCTTTCTTAAGGCAAAAGGAAGTAAAAAATAAATAAATAAAACTCAATTATCATGAGTATTATTCATTAATAATATTTTAAAGCAGATCCTGAAAAAAAAAGATCTTTTCTTAACCCATTATTTATACTAATCAAAAGTTTCCTCACCCCAGAAGCTGTGTGACTATAAATGCAGCTATAAATGGGGTCTCCCTGGTGGCTCAAGGGGTTGAGATGCAATCTATGAAGCGATCCGCAGCCACTGCAGCACGAGTTCGATCCCCGGCCAGAAAGTTGCCCACATGGCACAGCAGACCTCTCCTGACTTGCCTGCTGCTCCCCTCAGCAGTGCATTTCAGTCAATCTGCCTGTTCTGGTCCCCACTCTGTCTCTGGTGAATCCTCTCACCCCCCACACCTCTGGCCTGTTCCCCAGTTCTTGTATGCATAATCTTTAAAATAAATAAATAAATAAATAAATAAATAAATGCAGCTATAAATGAATCATTCCTTTTGGTTATTTAATATACATTTAAGGGCCTCCCCGGTGGCGCAGCGATTGAGCGCTGGGTTGCGAAGCTGCCCGCAGCCTCTGCAGGGCCGGTTCGATCCCTGGCTGCTCCCCAGCCACTGGAGGAGGGTCCTGCATGGCGTGCAGACCTCTCCTGCCGCGCCTGCTGCTCCCCTCAGTAGTGTACTTCGTTCCTTCTGCCTGTTCTGCTCCCTGCTCTGGCTCTGGTGGATTCTCTCACCCTCCCGCGCTTCTGACTGTACCCAGTGCCTGTATAAATAAATAAATAAATCTTTAAAAAAAAATTAAAACTTAATACCAGGAATATGTAATACAAGTAGAGTTTTCTTATTCTGTTAGGTATGCAAATTTTTCTTGGATTAATTTCCAGTCTTGTTTTTACCTACCTTAAATGCAAGGTCCCCAACTTGTTGAGCAGTAAAATCTCCAATAGCAATGTATTCTTTACTTGCTGCCTGTTGTTGAGATTCATTTTCCTGTTCCTCTTCCTCTTCTGTTTCTTCTTCCTCCCCTTCACTTTCTTCTTCTTCTTCTTCTTCATCATCGTCTTCATCATCTTCTCCTTCTTCTTCATCAGTAGACTCATCATCTTCCTCTCTTTTAGTAACTACTCCAACTCTACAAAAGAGTAAGTCTATGATGAGTGTAACTTGAAATAATGTATAAGAACAGATCAAGTAAGGAATACCTTCGATATATAGAAGCACAGACTTATGAAGGGAATAAGGGGAAAGTACAACTAAATGTTTCTATCATCTAACAAAGACTACGTGGCCTGAGGAATGTATGACACAACAGAGCATGTGCTGGGCTAGAGGCCAAGGGACTTGCCTTTAAATTTTGGATTCATTCAATCCAATGCTGCTTGAGTATTATTACATAGTTGCTAGAATCTAAGCATGGAGTTTAAAATTCTGGTTTTATACCCTCTTTGTCAAGACTTCAGTTAAGCTTCATTTAAGCTCTCATTTCTTACTGGTAAAGTGGATGTAATCATAGAACCTGTCTTCTAAGGTTGTCATGAGGACTAGATGAATTACAAACTTGCACAGTGTTTAGGAGAATCAGTGCCTACAGTAAGCTTGTAATAAACATCAGTCATGATGAGGATGATCTGATGTTCCATGTCAGATACAGTGGACACCAAGGCAAGCTAGACTTAATTCTCTGTCCTCAAGGAGCTCACAAAAGGATAATGGATAATTACAATATAGTTCAATGGTACAACAGTAGAGGTCTACACAATATACTAAAGAAAACACATAGGAGGGAAAACTACATTATTGTCTATTGCTGGGTAAGGATGGAAAAGGCCTAGAATTAGGTCTTGAGGGATAGGTTACAATTAATCAGGTAAAAAGGGAGTAGAAAGAAGGAGGAGGTAGAGGAGAAAGGAGGCTTGAAATCAGGGAACTTCAAGTAGCTCATGAATGGTAGGACAAGGCTCGGAAGAAATGAACAAGAGATAAGACTAAAAAGGGAGCAGAATGCAGCCAATGTGAGCTTTATCTTTAAGATAGTCTCTAAAGAACAGGAGAAATGAACCCAAATGACAGATCAATAAAACCTTTCAAATTGATGTACCAAAAGGAAAAAACATGCAAAGAACACAACAGAATGTAAGCAGGGTAAGGATGTGATCTGATTGATGACTAGGTTACCACGTGGGGAACAGACTGGTTCAGAGAGTAGTTGTTTGATTATTAATCATCAATTCTTCTTGCTTTTTTTCCATTTCTTGTGATTTTTATTACTAGGCATTGTGGATGATAAATTAGAGAATGTGGATTTTGTCACCTTTTATAGGATGCTGAATTTCATTCTGTTACACAGCTAAATGATCTTGTTCCTATTAAGATCTGGTTTTAGACTTTATTGGAAGTCTACCTCAGTTCTGTTTTTATTCCAAGGTCACAGTTCTTAATATTAGGCTATTTTTCTCACTCCCAGGGCATAGGCCTTCCATTATCTCCACTAAAAAACTGAGGCACTCGCCAAACATTTGCTTACGGTATCTGGGTACAAATGCCAATCGCTCTCAGTGTCCCAGCATGTGGTTTCTACCAGGACTTCTAGAATCCTGCTCTGTGTAACCCAGGAGCCCATTCAGATTTCTGGAGAGAGTTACACTCTCTCTCCTCAAAAGTTCCAATGGTCTTGGCAACTCCAGAATTCACTCTCTGCCTCCTCAAGCCCAGTGAGACTGCTGTTTCCTGCTAAGCTCCATCTGTCTGCACCACAGTCTACTGATTATCCTCACTTCATGTGTCTCCCCATATTAAGAGTATCAGCCCTGCTTGGCTGATATTCGATAACTTTGAATAGCTATTTTGTATATTCTGTCAGGTTTTATAGTCATTTATGGCAAGAAGGTTAAGTATAATACCAACTACTTGGTCATTCTCGGTCACTTTTACTGGAAATCAGTGGAACTTGCATCTATAATCTTTATCAATTTCCCCAGAATACAATATAAAAGTTTGGGAACAGCATTTGAAGAATCTAAATAATGAACCTTTCCTCTTTTTGCTTCCCACAAACTGTTTTGCTTCCCACAAACTGTTTTAAGTTTTCCTTCTACTTTGTGCAAGCACCATTACTTACACCCACTCTAACAGAAAAACTGTCTCCAGTTTTTAAAGAATATTTATGAGAGGAGGAAATATGCAGGAGACAATCCAAAAAATTTTCTTTTTATATAAACACCACTGGTATTAAAGGCATTATTCTTATTTTCTAACATTTGATTACTTGGCTTGACAGAGCTCTGTTTGGTTTCCCCAACTAGATTATAAATTACTATCACCTCCACTTCTTTACACTCTCATGGGGATCTAACACAAAAAATAATTGTTGACTGACTAGATACTTTCATTTGCTCTCTTCTATTCTTTTATACGTCCTTATTTTGAGTCAAACATCAAAGCTGTTGGAGACACAGTATCTGAAAAGGAAGAAAGGAAGAAAAGAAGCATACTCTGTTGTGTTTTCTCTACTTATGGACACAGCAAGTTCCTGCAGTTGGTGAGTAAGCTTATCCAAAAGATTGTGCTCCTCTTGTTTCTTCTGATCATAGTTCCCAACAGGTGCAGGTTCGTCAGACTATGAGAGAAAATAAGTCTATTTCACTGAAAAATTTCTTTTTCCTAGTATACTTATTTTTAAAGAGAAAAACTCCAATAAGAGTTAGAAGACAAAGTAAATATCACCACAAGACTATGCTTACTTTAGAGAAATAATATTTAAAACAAAGGTAGATTATTATGTTGGCATATAAACCAAATCAAAAAATAAAATTATACTACATGCTTTTTTGTTTTGTTTTGTTTTCTCACTAGGAATTATAGACCCTCTGTAGTGAGTGAGGGACAAGTTCCAGTCAGAAGATTGGCTTTACAGTCAAAATGATAGACACCAATTCCAAGTTGTGTCACTCAATTGGCTGTGAGACACTGGAAAAGCTGCATCAGCTTTAGAAGACTTGATTTCCTAATCTGTGAAGCAGGAATATTAGGTTTTCAAATGCAGAGTCAGTCTTTCTTCTAAATTAAAGGATTTTGTGCCACTGGAGGAATTCGGGGGAGATGCTCTGAGGGATGACTTAGGTCTTAGATATAGTAAGAAGGATCCAAATCCAGGCAGGGAGATGCTTTCAGATGCTTTGGACTTTAAATGGTCTGTGGGTCTCTGGTCCTGGGCACCTACTTGAAGCTCAGACTCATATTTTAAAAAAATTCTGAAAGGACTGCCAAGAATAAATTATAGTTCCTCTTATTGCTGCAGAGTCACCAATATTAGAGCTGCCATGTGATATAAGAAGCTCCTTGATCACTTACACTCAGGGTTAGATTATGTGTTTTCGCCCCAAATTGTAATTAAAATAAAAACCATTCTAAACCATAAAACATAAATGTACAATATAGAAAAATAAAAATAGCTTCTTCCTGGATTTTCTGAGTTCCCAGGGCTGGGTGAGTTCATCAAAGGTGAACTTTTGTTAGATTTAGAGCCTGGTGTAGGGCAAGTGATGGTCAGGCTTTTATTCCACTAGCCTCGGTGGCTATCACCTGTGGTCTTCACTGCAGGAGGATCTTGGGAGCATGGGCTTGGGGCATGTGTGCTGATTGTGGACACCCGGAATATTGTGTGGGCATGCATAAGTGCGCACATCTGAGCCTGGAGGCTGAGGACATAAGGGTGGCATCATTCAGAAACAGAACAGCTATGAGAGGGTGAGCAATGGTTACTAGAGGAAGAGACCATGAGAGAAAGCCAGAGAGAGCCCAAAGAGAAAGAGTAAAGATTCACCAGGGGCTGGGATGGCTGTCAGCTTCCTGGCCCCCTGGCCTCCCTGCTTTGCCAGTCTACAGGCTGGCCCCACAACATTTGGCATAAAAAGGACATTAAAGCCTGAAAAAGTCACCGAGGGATCTAGGACTCTTCCTTGCCTGTCTGCCCAAATTGATAGAGAACCTGCCCCAGGTATGCTGGCACTACACCTGGTTTTTCTGCTCCGAAGCACATTCTTAGTAAGCACATATGGCAAGTCAGCACTGACTTGAGCGAGACAGCATCACTAGTGCAAACGCAGGAACTTACCTGCTCTAATTAATTCCTACTTCATGGACAAATTATACAAACAGATTGTTTGGTAATGTGATTAACTGTAACACTTACTTTTTTTAATTTTTCAAGAGTATTTTTATTTTCATTAATTGCCTGCTTTAACTGGATACATCTAAATTTTTAAAAAGAAAGAAAAAAAGATTAATTTTTTATTGTCAGAACAAGAAACTGATATTGTAAAATCATATATAAGTTTTAAGCAGGAAAGGCAAATAGCTATGGTATGAATAATGCTAAATATTCACATGTAAATGTTTTCCATCTATTGGCTCAGATGATCCTTATAGCCAAGGTCAGGTCGAAGAACACAGCTAAGATAATCAATGCTCAGAAAGTTCAAGTGACTTGGGGTTTTAGTTCCCTGTCTCTGAAATAAGGAAGAGCAATGACTTCTCCAGCCCAAAAATTCCACAAACTTAGGATTTAATCAAGAAGACATAATAATGATAACAACAGCTATAGTTCATTGTGCATCACGCATACCGCTAAGCAGTTTACAAGCATCATCTCATTTGAGCCTCATAACAACCCTCCCTTTAACTGAATGAGGTTCTAAAAAGTGACCATAGCTAGTCAACAGTAGAGTAACAATGTGAAGGCCAAGTTTAGGATTCTAGAGCTGGCTTTTCCTCACCACAGTACACTCCCCTTTTGAATACAGTACACGCCCCATTTATATTAATTAGTATCTCATAGCATTGTTTGAAATTTTTTTTTAAAGATTTATTTATTTACACAAGCATGGGGGTAGAGGCCAGAGGCGTGGGAGGGTGAGAGAATTCACCAGCGACAGAACGGGGAGCAGAACAGGCAGACAGACCAAAGACACTGCTGAGGAGAGAAATGGGGAGGCAGGAGACATCTGCTGTGCCATGTGGGTCTCTCCCTGGCTGGCCAGGAATCGAACCCGCACAACAGAGGCTGTGGACAGCTTCACAGTGCTGTGCTCAATCCGCTGTGCCATGCCACGAGGGGATGCCCAAGTTTGAAACTTAAGTAAGAGAAAGTTTCTAGAGCATGGACCACACTGCTTGGTGCATATAGATACAAAATAATTGTAAATTGTTTCTTTTTAATGCTTGCTATTCTCTATTTAATTTTATTCTTTTATTCAGACCTAGTAGATATAGGTAATTGTAAGAAATACTTTAAAATACACTTTGGAAAGTTATTCATTGTTACCTCAATATTATTTTGTCTCTAGGAAATTTTACTAAGAAAATAAAGAAACAATGCCTGAAACAATTTCTGTGTTGTAAATTACTATTCATTGAAATTTGAGTATAATTCCTGGAAAGTGTAAATTTAGTGCGCTTTACCTTTGATAGATATCTTGCCTCTTACTGGCTTCTAGAGCTCCTTTCAACTGACTCTCAGAAATTAAACTATCAACCTACAACAAATGGAGACAGTTAAAAATATATTTTTAAATACCACGTATACTTAGGAAATAAACTTTCAATTCCTTTTACCAATATTTTTATTAATATCTTTAAACACAATGAAATTGAAAGAATTTTAACGAACACCCATATACCCATTACCTACATTCCACCATTAACGTTTTACCATACTTATTTGATCTACCGACTCATCAATATATTTTCCCTTAAATAATGTACCAAGGTACATCACTAAGTAGAATGCACTATTTCATGTAAAATTTACATACAGTGAAATGCACAAATCTTACATATACATTTGCTGAGTTTTGGCAACCGCATACATCTGTGTTACCCAAATCCCTAGCAACAAAGAGAACTACCATGACCCAGGGAAGCTCCCAGAAGGTATGTACTCCATGTAATTCTTTCATGTAGCATGTTTTCAGATACTTCCATATTGTGTGAATCATTATTTTATTACTCCTTATTGCTCAGTGGGGTTCACTGTAGACCACAAGTTTACCTATCATATATCTTATATCTTGACTTAGCATTTTCCCAAACACTAAGGTAACTTTGCCATCCTTCTTTTGGATTCTTTGCTACAGATGATGCGATAAAGAATGAAAAAAGAGAAGTAAAAGTTCACTAGTTTCTTCTCTAGTTTTGCTTTCTTGCATTGATCTGGATAGTATTTACAAAATTCACATACTTGATGACAGAATCAATCATCACAGCCACGACACAGATGGCTCCTGATTACCTGTCCCATGGACACCTAAGAGGAAATCTGTTTGCTTTAGTATGGAGAGGGAAGAATTAGCTCACATTATCGAAGGGCCCAGTCTAGATGTTCTAGGCATCAAAAGACTCCTGAACCAATTCTTCTAGAGGAGGAATAATCCTTGTAATATTTTTCTTTGTTTCATCTCTGCTTACATAATGGAAATGTAGAACTAGATACAAGACCATATTAATGTATACAGTTTAGCAAATTGAAAAAAGAACTTCAGAAAATAGATTAACAACTCATTAACTATTACTTCTTTAAAAAGTAATATATATTTAGTGCTCAAAATTATAAAAATATCAAAAAGTATTAAGAGAAACATAAAAATAACCAGTATTCTACCACACTTACCATCCTGGCATAATTTCTCCTATTTTTTTTCTATGTATATGGCATGTTAAAATTTTTATTGATTTATTGTATATTCAATTTTATATTTTTTCTAATTTGACATTTTATATCATGTATTTTCCCTAAAACATTAAAATCTCTTTAACAAAATTTTAACCATAGTATTATATCCCAGTTATATATCATTCCCCTATTATCGATCACATAAGTTGTATGCCTTTTCTATTGTAAATAATATTTTAATAAACAGTTTCATATTCCAACCTCTATCCCAATTTTTTTCATTATTATGTATGGCAAATTCCTGAAAATGTAATTACTCAGACTAGGAGAATGAATATTTGCTACAACGTGTCAAACTGTTCTCCAGAAATTCTGTACCTTGCACCCTGGAGCAGTACAGTTAAGTGTTAAGTGTCTGTTTATCACACCCTCTCCAGTATTATCTGAGTATTGTGGATTTTTTTTTAATGCCCGTGATATCTTATTTTCTTTGCAATTAATCGATAATCTTCTGAGGTTTACTTTGCTCACATTTATGACTTATTTGTATTTCTTCTTGAGTGCATGTCCTTTGCTCACAAGCCAGATTTTAACATTTTTCTTACATATTCAGACTATTTCTTGACACTTACTTCCCTTGAGTTCACGTGAGCAATGACAGACAACCTCCATTGAAAGAAGGCTCCAAGGGAGTGCAGACTGGTCCAACCACTATGGAGAGCTGTGTGGAGATTTCTGGACCTACTAAACATAGAGCTTCCATATGATCCAGCAATTCCACTCCTAGGTATTTACCCAAAGGACACAGAAACATCAATTCCAAAGAACACCTGCACCCCTATGTTTATAGCAGCACTATTTACAATAGCTAAGCTTTGGAAACAGCCCAAATGCCCAAAAATAGATGACTGGATCAAGAAGATGTGGTACATATATACCATGGAATATTACTCAGCATTCAAAAAATATAAACACATGCAATTTGCAGCAACATGGATGGCGCTGGAAGGGATCATGCTCAGCGAAATAAGCCAAAAAGAAAAAGAAAAATATCGGATGATCTCACTCATAGCAGGAATCTAGAAAACTTAAATAAGGGACCAGGAAAATGAATAACTATAAGAAAGTGAAAATCAAAATCAACAAAAAACTATGAGCCAGAGACACTTTTTGGGGGGTGGGGGGCGGGAGGGGAGGGATTGGGGTCAGAATGGGGGGGTTGCAATTGTATGGGGGAATATAAAAATAAAATTTATTATTAAAAAAAAAAAAAGAAACAGATGGCTGCCAGGTTAAAAAAGAAAGAAAGAAAGAAAGAAGGCTCCAAGGAAAAGGGGCATGTAGAGTAAAGGAGAGAGATGTTGGGCGCAGAGTTGATTAGAAATGGTAATAGTTAAAGTTTACATTTGGAGATGAGGTGCGTTAGGGGCTTGTTAGAATTCGGAGATTGAGCCGTTAGGGTGGGGGAGGTGGGCAGCAAAGTCTGTGACCAGGGCTTGGGCTGGTAATGAGGGCTTAGAATCCGGATAAGGTGCTGGCATGCTGAGGCAGGATGGGGGTGGGGGCTACGACTCGGGAAGGTAAGTGGGTTAGGAGTAGGCTTCCAGGGTTGGGGTACGTCCCAGATCTTGCCCGCCGCCAAAGCCTAGGCCGCCTCGCAGGGCCCAGGTCTGTAGCTGGACAGCTAGACCCTACCTGTTGCTTTAATTCCTGACTGCGACGCTTTACGGTCTGGAGCGGATCTCGTCGCCGCCGAGCCAGCATCTCCCTTCCCTCAGCGCTGAGCTGCAGCCGGTTGTCAGGGAAACCAAGACTGCAGACCGGAAAAGTGACGCCATCACAGCGCGCCGGCCTCTGCAGCCCGGACGCGGGTTGGCTGGGGAAGACCTTCAGTGAGGTGGATTGAGGTACACGATTTGTTACGTCATCCCCAAGTGGGACTAAATCCTGTAAATCCAATTCCTAAACTTACCACTACACCGAGTAAGAATGAACTTTTGAAACGAACCACACTTTTTTTTTTTTTTTTTCAGTACTGTTATAGAGCAGCCCCGATATTGAGCGGGTTGCCTGGCTGTGGGTCCTCCCCTGCGCGCTTAAAAAGGACTTATTAATACTCCACTACAGGCACACACAAAAGGTTAATAAAAGGTTTATTTACAAGGGAAAAGGAAATAAGGAAAATGTACAACTCAGGCAGGGAGCTGTCAACCCGAGGCTCGGAGCTCAGGGCCACTGCCCAAGTGGTCGTCTTTTCCTCACACATCCCCGAAGAGTTGGGGGGTGGAAATAGGGGAGGAGGGGTTGGGCTAACCCCCACGGCGTTCGAAACTACAAGTCCCAAAATACCTCAATACCACGACATTCCTGTTGGGATACGCGTTAGGGCACTTGTTTTCTTATACCCGGCTTGCTAGACTGATCTTGTATTTACTGCAGGAATAGCTTTCCTATATGGCCTTCATGGACTCCGTGGCTCTGTTGCATACTCTCCCTTCACAAGGCAGTTTTCTTTGCCATTTGCAGTATTGCTAAAGTTTCGTTTTATTCTGGTCTTGTACTTTGTCGATGCTGACTTCTGCGAGGTTATTGGTTTTATCTGTTCTGCAGCAAGCCTGTGAGCACATAACTGATTTTCACTTTACATCTACTCTCAGGGATATTTTAATAACATTTCCCCAAGTGGGACTAAATCCTGTAAATCCAATTCCTAAACTTAACACTACACCGAGTAAGAATGAACTGATTTCACTTTTGAAACGAACCACACGTTTTTTTTATTTCAGTACTGTTATAGGGCAGCCCCGATACTGAACGGGTTGCCTGGCTGTGGGTCCTCACCTGCGCGCTTAAAAAGGACTTATTAATACTCCACTACAGGCATACACAAAAGGTTAATAAAAGGTTTATTTATAAGGGAAAAGGAAATAAGGAAAATGTACAACTCAGGCAGAAAATAGGGAAATAAAGTCTTTAATGCGTCCTACCCGATCCGCCGACCTAGAAACCCAAAGGCACTCTCAGAGCTGGCCGGACGCTGCTAGCTGGTGGAGAGCCAAAATGGGGGACCCCTCCAAAGCCCACGAGTCTGCCTTATATCAACCTGGCTGCTTAACCCCACCCTCAGGTCCCAGCCACCTTCCCTTTGGTGGTGATGGGATTTGGAGTTCCCAGTGTCTTTGGCTTTGGCCTGGAGTGGAGTCCACAAAGCCTGTATGGAATTAGCTTTAGGACATCCTTTTCCCCCTAACAGTACAACAGGTAATTAATTTCATTCCACATGATCAACTGCCATGTTATTTATGTGCTTTTTCTTCGAGTATAATACAAAGTGATAATTGTGTACCTCAATCCACCTCACTGAATTTTCACACTGAATACACACCCTGTAACATTATCCACATTAACACGGATCATTACCAGCACCCTAGTAGTCTTCCTCTACTGCTAGTCCCTATCTATCCGCATTCATCCCCTGTATCAACCACACACTACCCTAATTTCTAACAACAAAATTTTTTGTTTTGCTCTTTGGAAACCAAACTGTAGGATGGGATCATGCCATGTGTATTGGCATCTTGTCTGGGTTTTCAGAAGTTTTTGAGCTACATCAATATCATTGTGTCTAAGTGTAGTTTGTTCATTCTCACAGCTCTGATATTTCATTGTACTACATAATCTAAGATACTCATTCCACTGTTGCTGGGCATATGGTCTAGGCCTATTATATATAGTGCTATTTATATGTGAACACAGTATGAACATATGTACACAACGCTGGTACACAGGGTATGTTTAAAGTCCAACTGTAGTAAAGAGTTGCCTATTTCCCTGGCATTACACTCTAAGGGCAGTGTATGGGATTTGTTCTTATCCTTGATACTTGGTACTGCTTTTTTGCAGCTAATGTCTTTATTTGGAATTTCTCCATTATAGCTCATAATACTTTTCACTTAAAGAATACTAGTATTTACACTTAAAATAATGAGAAATAATGTGCTATAAAATATTTAATGTAAAATACTTTATATGACTAACTTATTAGTGATGAAATAAGCAATAAGAAAAATTACATGAGAAAATTCACCATTTATGAAACCTTTATATTAAATTTTAAAGTCTAAAAAGAAATTGGGAAATCCTATATCTGATTCATGAGGATTTCAATATTTTAAATAAAGTTACAAAAGTATATGAGGAATGAGGAGGGATAGTTTGTTACTCTTGTTTACTTCAGGTGGAAAGATGACTTTGATTTCACACATTTTTGTAACATATTCAGAGTTAAAACCATTTATTCTTTGTGAATCCTTGATCAACATTAATGGGAAGCTTACTAGAAATGTATAGTCTCAGGCTCCACCACAAACCTACAGAATCAGAATCTGTGTTTTAATAATAACCCAGTGTTTAGTATATACATTCAAGTTTGAGAAATACTAAAGTATTCATTGCTTCCTTTTTTTTTTTTTTTTTTTTTTTTACTGTTATGCTCAGCATGGTCACCTTAACACTAGTTATTACTTTTCTGTAGTCATCCTTGATACCATTATAAAAATCAGAGTAACCTAAAACAAGAGATTTGAGATGAGGTAGCAAATTGTGGCCAGTGTTTTTTTCCTAAGAACAAATTATTTCATAAAACTTAAGATTTTCCCCCATAAGTATATTAAAATGATTATCAACTTTGTACTGTTTCCTCACAGAAGACACTGAAAAAGAATTTAAGCTTCCTATATACCCGCAATGCAGAACTAGTGGAATCAGATGGTTAAGAGCCAACTATAGGGAGATTATAGCAGAGAATACAGAAAGTTTGGCTATTTCAGGGTCTTAAAGAAAATAATGCACCTCAAATAAAAGCGTCAAATATTTATGAGCACCTTGGTACAAAGTACTGGCTAGACCTGTGGAATAAGATGTTTAAGGCACTGGCCTAAAAGATATTATGGGCTACAGCAACTCACTGGAAAGGTAAACTTGTACCAATTACAAAAGATGGATAGTATAAGTGTCACCGGTTTACAGACTTTTCTGTCAAATGAACTATAAACAGATGACAGACACATTGTATTTAAGTTTGAGAGTAACGTCAATCAATGAAAATGTGCCAAGTTGGAATTAAGGCTCAGGTAAGATAGAAACATCATGGAGGGGAATCTGCTTGCATGTGACAAAGGGAGTGGCTGGGGCAGTCAAAAATCAAAGGCCCATGGAAAGAAGTTTTAGTAAATTGGAAAAGACAACAGTAGTAAAAATTTGGGAACTTGGGAATATTTTGTATTATGGAGACAAGATCTCTTGATATACTAAACTGCAAGGCAGGCAAGCTACTGCTTTTCCTTTTGATGAAAAAACCAAATATATTTACATTTTTTTTATTTTAAAAATAAAACTGATTCATAATGTATAAGAAGATACTTCTGTCCAGTGTTCTATACATTCATCTTCGACAAGCTGTTGGAAACAGGAAAGGCAAAAATTAGAGATTCAGAATGGTTAACTTCAAATTACTACATTGTGGGGCTTTAAACTATGAACTATAAGACCTGGAGTAACAACCAAGAAAACTGAGTCCCTGAAAGTTTGTGATGTACAGCTCTAATGAAAAAACTAGCGCCCTAACGAAGAAACAGGCTTCTGACTTTAGGCGACTGATTTTTCCACTCTCAGTAACCTGAGAATGCCGACTGGATGTTACTGGATGACAAAAACAGGAAGATGTACTGTGGCGCGACCACCAATATTATCAAAAAGAGTAATAAGATGAAAAAATGGTGGTACGAACAGTTCAGGTCTTTCTTTTTTCCCCCCTTTCTTTTCAGCACTATTAATATTAAAGTTCAACATTATCAAGATGCACTGTGGTGAGACATTAACCAACACCAAAGTGTAATTTACTGGGAAAACAACACGTCCTCTTTTCTGGTATCGAGAGGAACCTACCTCTTGGGCTCTATCTAAAATCCCTCCTGGGGGCATCCCTGGTGGCGCACGGGGTTAAGACGCAACCTATGAAGCTGCAAGAGTTAGATCCCCGGCCTGCCAGGGAGCTACACACATGGTGCGGCAGACCTCTCCTGCCGCCTGCTGCTCCCCTCAGCAGTGTATTTCAGTCCATCTCCCTGTTCTTTTCCCCGCTCTATCTCTGGTGAATCCTCTCCAACCCCCCCCCCCCATCTCTGGCCTGTACCCCAGTTCCTGTATGCATAAATAAATCTTTAAAAAAAAAAAAAAAGTCCTTCCTACTCCAAGACATCCACCCAACCTCACTGTCCCCCCTTAGAGAGCTACGATAGGTACTGCTCACCGACATTCCGGGGGAGCCTGGCCAAGAAGGCGCAGAGTGAGAGACCAGCCACGCTCAGGCTGGTGCCGGAAAGGAGCCCCCGCGTGGGCAAAGCGAGGTGGCAGGGCGGGGGGCGGCGCGGACACACCGATCGGGGTCTCAGGCCAGATCCAGCTTCTTCTGCATCACCGCCAGCTTGTCTTGCAGCCTCCGCTTCCTCCAGTCCAGGAAGCGCCTCCGCAGCCGATTTGCCTGCCAGCCCACCAGCACTCCCGAGGCGAAAGCCACCAGCACTGACACCTGCAGCGTCCTCTCGGACACGTCCGCCATCGCGACCGGCCTGCGCGCGGCGGCCTACGGCGCAGCGGCGGGGTCAAAAGGCGCGGCGCGTTTATGACGGAGGCGGAGAAGCGGGGCGGGGCGCGTCTGCCCCAGATTTAACTGGGCTTGGGGTCCGGCCTCCTGAAGCCTCGCTCCGCCCTGGTTGTCCCCGTCTTTCTTTCCTCTGAGCCCCTGCAATGTTTGTTTGGGGCTTTCATCCGATTTCCCTTGCATAATTAACTAACTTGGTAAACTCAACACCTCTTCGTATTATTTTTACAGCAACAGAATGCGAGCTAGGGCTTCGCATTCTAGTAAATTTTATGAGATGCAACTTTAAATTTTATTATAGCCCATTAAAAAGTAGAGAAAAAGAAACAGGTGAAAAAAATTGAGAGCTAGATTTTATTTCACTCAATAGATGCAGAATGTTATTTCAACATATAAATTCGTATAACAAATTGAGATTTTCATTTTTTATACTAAATCTTTGAAACCTGGTGTCCATTTTTTAGTTAACAGTTTGTCTTAACCTGAACAGTAGAGATACTTGATCTAGATTCCTTAAAATTTAGTTAAGAATTAGTTTCATAGGGCCTCCCTGGTGGTGCAGGCAGTTAAGCGCAGCGCTGTGAACCTGTCTGCAGCCTCTGCAGTGTGGATTTGACCCTGGCTGGTGGGGGAGATACCCACATGGCATGGCAGACCCCTCCTGTCTCTCCCGCTGCTCCCCTCTGCTCCCCTCGGCAGTGTATTTCCAGTCAGTCTGCCTCTTCTGTTCCCCACTCCGTCTCTGGTGAATCCTCTCACCCCCACACATCTGGCCTGTACCCCCGTTGTTGCATGCATGAATAAATCAATCTTTAAAAAAAAATTAGTTTCATATACCCATTTTGTTCTAAAGACTTATATATACATTTCTCAATAACGAGGCTGAATATCACTCTGCTTCCTAGACACTTCTATGTGTGATCCTCCCATCTCTCCAATCATGTCTCATTCTTCTTCTGCCCATCCCTATGTTTTAGTGTTTTTAGTGTTTTCTATTTCTTTTTCCTCTATATGTTCCACTAGAATACTCTAGTTTACACTCTCAGATCTGTAGTTTTCCAATACCTGTTAAATACCAGGTCCATATACCCAACTGCCAGCTAGATATTGGCCTGTGACTGTCCCACACGCACTTTGATTCAATAGGGTGAAAACTTACCTAGGTTGTTCTGCACCTCCATCCAGTCTGTCTCGCTGGAGAAGCTGGCTTATTTGACCACATCACTAGGCTCCCTCGCCCTCTGCCTTCTGGTTGGGGAAGCTCCTGAAGGCTGTTAGAAGGGAAAAGAGTGAATCATTTTTTTAAATTTAATTTTATATATATATATTTAAGCATTTATTTTTTATTTATACAAGAGCTGGGGTACAGGCCAGAGGTGCCAGAGGGTGAGAAGATTCACCAGAAACAGAGTGGGGAACAGAACAGGCAGACAGACTGAAAGCACTGCTGAGGGGAGCAGCGGGTGCGACAGGAGAGGTCTGCCAAGCCATGTGGGAATCAACCTGGCCAGCTGGGAATTGAACCCGCGCTGCAGAGGCTGCGGACAGCTTCACAGCGCTGCGCTCAACCAGCTGCACCATCAGGGAGGCCCTAATTTTATATATTTTTACATCATTTTTCATTTTTGCACAATGTATGCATTTTCATCTTGGTTATAGTCCCCATACAATTCCCACCCACCTTACTTTGACCGTAATCCCTCCTAATTATAATAAAATCAAAATCAAAATCAACAAGCAACTATAAACCAGAGACACACACGAAGTGGGGGGAGGTAGGAGGGATATAAGAGTGAATCATTTTTACCCCTAGTGTAGCTCCCTCCCTCTGATACTGAACACTGGCCTCAGTTTCCCTCAGCCAATAAAAGGAAACAGAGTTTGAGGAAAAGAAAAGTGGTTTAATTTGTCGACAAATAGGAGGGCAGCAGACTCATGGCGGAAAGACAACCATCCTGCTCTTTGGCAGAGTGCAGGGGTATTTATACAAAGAAAATAAAAGTGGGCAAGGGTCTGCTTAGTGGTGGGGGAAGGGGTCAGCTTGCTTTTTTTAACAACTGCTGCTTAACCCTTTTTTCCTTGAAATGCAAGAAGACAAGCCTGTCAAATAAGGGGGTAATTGCAATAAATGCGGAAAGATAAACTTGTTAATGCTTATCTGCGAGACCAGTCATAAAGAAGGCAAACTGGGCAGATAAGGGGTAAATTGCAAGAGATGGGGAAGACAAACTTGTTAATTCTTATCTGACAGACCAGTCATTTGTAACTGCATCACCTCCAAGGTTGCCCTGCACTATCTATGATGTTTGACTAGAAGTTACTGCTCTTTTAAGGCAGCCTTCTCTGCATGACTCTCTCCTTCTGGGTTCTAGTAACTGCCCCCTCCCCCATCCCTACTGTCCCTTTGGATCTAAGGGTCTAACAGTCCACTGATGCTAGTTCTGGGATGCTCACTGAATTTGTGTTTCCTGATCTCAAGGAATACTGGGATCCTGGCATGGGGAAGGTTAACAGTCCAAGAACACAACACACAGAGTGCTTTTCAGAGTGTTTGGATCAACAGGAGTTCGTGGCAACGTCTAATTGATCATGAGGTACCCTAGGTACGAAATCACTGTGGAATATATGAAGGTGCTACGTAACATGTATAGACAAAACTTTCCTAGTCTGTTAGGCAGAAATTTAACTCCATTTGCCATTGAGGAAATTCATCTCCTTTGTCTCAGTTCCAGCCTGAGCCAGGTCACAGAACAGAGGTGCTTAATTGGGATGCAGGTTAGGTCTTTTTGTGAAAAGGACCTGCTATGAAGCCACAGGTATGTGCTGTGACTCTACCTCCATTCTGTTCCCAGGGAGACCTGCAACCATTTGCCAAGGTGACTGCATTCAGGAAAGGGAAATAGCCAGAACTTCTATGGGTTGTAAGAGACTAGCTCTGAATTTATGGAGCCCTCTGCAGCCCCCAAGAGCCACAATGGTACACTAGACATAGTACAAACTTATGTTGGTCAGGTTATGTTTGAAGACATGGCTTGAGTTCAAGAATCAAAGAAGTCCTTCCAGTCTGTTTTCCACCTCCCTTTTCTGCCTTTGAGTATTCATGATTCTATGGGGCCAATTTAGACAGTCCATGATAATTTATGTTATGGTCAACTGAAAGTGTCTTTTGAGGAGCAAAACAACAGATTCACAGTCCTAGGGATTGGGATGTGGGATGTTTGGGGCATTTTTGGTAGCATTCAGTCTACCTCAAGCTGGAACCAGCACTTTGCAGGCCCGAATTCTGAGGAACCATGGGAAGGGCAGGGGTGGGGTGGGGGGACCATGCTTTCTGCCAGGTGACCAGGGCCTGCCCAAGGCTGGCCAGACGTCTTCTTCCTCTGGGAAGTGTTGTGAAGTTGGTTGGTATGAGCTGAAAAGCTCATGCTGCGCTGGCCAAGGCCCATCTAAGAACTGGCCTGTAAATATTTATTACTCTTGTTTTAAATCGTGAGCAACATTTTTAATCGGGAAAGTTTCATGAAAATCTAGATTTCTGCTTTCTCTTGAAAATTCAGCAGTTCTGGCAATCCTGAGCATCCAGCAAGGCTGAATCTGGAGGGTGCCCTGGGGGAAGGAAGGAGGATCTGAAGCACCTTCCTTCACTCCAGGGCCCTCCTGGGTATCTATCTGCCTCAGGGGACTCAAAGTCTACACTCAACTCTCTCTGGCGGTTCCACTAGGATGGGGAGGGAGCCAATAGTTACCTGCACCCGCCACTGAACATATATGAACTCACTTAATTATTTTTTATTTATACAAGAGCTGGGGTACAGACCAGAGGCGCCAGGGTGAGAGGATTCACTAGAGACACAGTGGGAAGCAGAACAGGCAGAATGACGGAAACACACTGCTGAGGGGAGCAGCGGGTGAGACAGGAGAGGTCTGCCGGGCCATGTAGGAATCTCCCTGGTTGGCTGGGAATCAAACCCTCACTGCAGAGGCTGCGGACAGCTTCACAGCGCTATGTTCAACCCGCTGCGCCACCGGGGAGGCCCTTAATTCTTTTTTTTATTTTATTTTATATATATTTTTTACATCATTTTTCATTTTTGCACAATGTATGCATTTTCATCTTGGTTATAGTCCCCTTACAATTCCCACCCCCGCTATTTTGACTCTAATCCCTCCTCTCTTCCAGCTCCCCCCCACCCCAGTGTGTCTCTGGTTTATAGTTGCTTGTTGATTTTGATTTTTACTTTATTACAATTAGTCTTTTTCCTGTTCCTTTATTTGGGTTTTCTAAATCCCTGCTATAGGTGAGACCATCTGGTATTTTTCTTTTTCTTTCTGGCTTATTTCGCTGAGCATGATCCCTTCCAGCGTCATCCATGATGCTGCAAATTGCATGTGTTTATCTTTTTTCATTGCTGAGTAATATTCCATTGTATACATGTACCACATCTTCTTGATCCAGTCACCTATTTGGGGGCATTTGGGTTAATTCTTAAACCAACCCTGGGAGGAAGGTCTTAACTCCGGTCTTACTGACACAGAAAGACAGGCACAGTCACACGCTCCGGGCCAGCGGATGGAGCGATTTGCCGCCAGCCTGAGCTCTAGCCCTCCGCCCGGGCGCGCCTCGTCCCCGCCCCGGCTGCAGACCGCGGAGGGAGGCCGGGAGAGAAGGGGGCCGGAGCCGGGGATCCCGCCGCGCCCTCCGCTGGTCCTCCGCCTTCAGGGCTGCAGCGAACCGTCCCCGCCAGAGTCACGTGAAGGGCCGAGCGAAGCGCACCGAGCCGGGGCTTCCAGTTGGTTCGAGGCCAGAGTCCGCAGCTGCGGCCCCGACGTTCCCGATCCCAGACCCGCGCGATGCTCGGGGCAGGCCGAGCTGGGGTAGCGAACCGCCCGCAGACCCCGAGGAGCCGGCCGCGCAGGAGGTAAGGGTGGGGAGACTGCTGCGGGTCTGGAACGGCGCCCCGAAGGCTGGCGGCC